GAGCATTTTAAGGAATGATGCGGAATTCTCAAATATGTCTTATAACTCAAAAAGCAGATGTCCCTGTTCTTCTGTATTGGGAAAATATAGTAATATACAAAAGGTTCAGAATATTTTAATTAAGGGAAATAAATATATATATGATCTGCTAATATTAAAATTTTGGCAGATACACCAAAATACTTATGAATTATTATCTATGGGAAAAAGAAATGGTAAACAGAGAAAAAGTTAGAATTCCCTGAATGTAGCTTGTTATGTATTACTGTTATTATTAGAAACCAAAATATTCATTGTTAGAAGTGAAAATACAAAAAAGTCAAAAGTATTTTTGAAAAAAATTGACCTCTGTACAGTATTTTTACAATAAAAAAGTATAAAAAATTATTGATGGGGCTGGGAAGGTGGCTCAGTGGTAGAGCGCTTGCCTTGCATGCATGAGGCCCTGGGTTCAATTCCCCAGCACCACATAAGCAAAAAGAAAAAGAAAAAAAGCTGGAAGTGGCGCTGTGGCTCAAGTGGTAGAGCGCTAGCCTTGAGCTGAAGAGCTGAGGGACAGTGCCCAGGCCCAGAGTTTAGGCCCCACAACCGGACCCAAAAACAAAAAAACAAAACAAAAAATTGATTAGGGGCTGGGAAGGTGGCTCAGTGGTAGAGTGCTTGCCTTGCATGCATGAGGCCTTGGGTCCAATTCCTCAGCACCACATAAGCAGAAAAAGCCGGAAGTGGCACTGTGGCTCAAGTGGTACAGCACTAGCCTTGAGCTGAAGAGCTGAGGGGCAGTGGCCAGACCCAGAGTTCAAGCTCCACGACTGACAAAAAAATAAAAATCATTGACTGTCTGGCATTATAGGTCATGCCTGTAAACACAGCTAATTAACAAGACCCTATCTTCACCAATAAGAAGCTAGGTGTGGTGGCACACATCCATTGTCCTAGTTATATATAAATGTAAACAGAAGTATCTCAATGCAGGATGGCCTCAGAATATTGTCTCAAGGTGTGGGCTACAGATGGTCAGTTTTAAAATGTGATTTTTTTTTGGTTGGTCCTGGGACTTGAACTCTGGGCCTGGGCACTGTCCCTCAGCTCTTCAGCTCAAGGCTAGCACTCTACCACTTGACCCACAGGGCCACTTCTGGTTTTCTGGTGGTTCACTGGAAAGTCTCATGGGAGGTGAGAAGGTGGCTCAGTGGTAGAGTACTTGCCTCCCATACATGAGGCCCTGGGTTCGATTCCTCAGCTCCACATAAATACAAAAAGCTGGAAGTGGCACTGTGGCTCAAGTGGTAGAGTGCTGCCTTGAGCAGAAGAGCTGAAGGACAGTGCCCAGGCCCAGAGTTCAGGGCCCACAACAGACAAAAACAAAAACTAACCAAACAAGCAAACAAAAAACACAAGAGTCTTATGGATATTCTTGCCTGAGCTGGCTTTGAACCGTGATCCTCAGATCTCAGCTTCCTTTGTAGCTAGGATTACAGGCTTGAGCCACCTGCACCCGGCTGAAGTGTGATTTTTTTTTTTAAGGGATTGACACATGTTTCTCAATCACCCAAGCTTCTTTGCTAGATCTTAACTCCTTCCTCCAGAAGGTAGGAAGATACCAGTAGGGCAGAGACCTTGGGGAAAGGGTGTGTTTGGGGAAAGGCCCAAGTCACCTCCATCCTGCCCAAGGAGCCAAGTTCCGAGGGGCCTGGAACAGGAGTCAGGGCAGTGCTCTGCTGGAGTCAACCCTTAGGAAGGCTTAGGAAATAACGTTCATCCCTGGGCATAAGACACAGCTGTCTTCCTATTTCTGAGAAATCACCTGGGATGAGCTCAGAATCGGCCCCAAATTGCTCGTCCACCCTCAAACTCACATTCCTTGCTTGTCTGAAATCAAGACTGGGCTCTGCGCCTGAGAAGGCCCTCAAGCCCATTCCACGGGGGTCCGGGTCCCTCTCCCCGACTGCAGCGCCAGATCTCCAGCAGCCCCCCCTCCCTCGCCCCCCTTCCCTTCCCCTTCCGCACCTGCCATCCCCAGGGGGCCCCCTTCCCCCAGCCCCCCCCATCTCCAACCCCCACCCCGCCACCCGTCGGGGTCCGCCCCTTTCCCTGCCCTCCCCACTCACCTTCAGCACCAGGATCTCCAGCATCTTGACCGAGGCGCCTGCGGCCCGCGGCCCCTCGCCCTGGATGGCCCCCAGCACCCGCCCCCTCCCCGCTCCCGGCAGTCCACCCGCTGCGCCCACCCACACTCGGGCCTGGCCTCGTCCTAGAGTCTTGCACGTGCACGCCGTGCCGCAGGCCGAGGACGCCGCCGCCGCCATGCCGCCTCCGGGACCACGTGCTCCGCCCTCCAACCCGACGCGGCCCTCCCGCTCCGGCTCCTCCCGCTCTGGCTCCTGACCGCCACCCCCCGGCCTCGGCCCGCACCGCGTGCCTGTAGACACCCCCAGCCCGCGTCCCCAACGGTCCACCCCGCCACCCACGCCCGCGCAGGCGTCGAGGCCTCGGGAAAGCACGTGGAGTTAACTGCCCTGACAACGGCCGGGCACGCTGCCCCACTGCCTGCCGGGTGGAGCGCCACAGAAAAGCGAGGGAACCGCAGGGAAGAGGTGGGCGCAACCGGAAGGGGCGTGGCAAAGCGAAGGGGCGTGGCGAAGTGAGGGGGCGTGGCGAAGGGGCGTGGCGAGGCGAAGGGGCGGGGAATGACACGAGTGGAGATGGCAGGGAATGGCTGACATTTCCAGGAAGGGCGTGGCATTATGAAGGGGCGGGGAATGGCTGTCACTACTGGAAGGGGCGTGGCAACGAGGGGGTTGAAACTACAGGAAGGGGTTGGACTAACAGGAAAGGGCGGGCGGAGCATGACCGGAAGGGTCGAGAATGAGTTTGCACATCCTGGTTCAAAGCTAGCCTCGGCAGACACATCCCTGAGTCTCATCTCCAACTAGCCAGCAAAAAGCTAGAAGTGGAGGTGTGGCTCAAGTGGTAAAGGGCCAGTCTTGGGCAAAAAAAGCTGAGAACCTTAACACTGCCTGGAGTTCAGACCCCAATACCAGCAAAAGAAAAAAAAAAAAGTAAGCATCAGTTACCATGTTTTGCAAATAACCTGTGCTTGAAGCCTCTGCCAGACTGTAGAATAGATTTGTGGGTACACCTCAGGACAGCACAGCTGTAGAAGACGTTAAGTCCACCTGTCGGCTGACATTGGGCTAACAAGGCCTTGAACCCAATCAAGGCACATGGCAAAGATGAGCTCACCTGGAAGCTTCAGACCCTGTTAGAAAGTGAGTGAACTACAGTCCCAAAGAACATGAGTATAACTTACCAGCCTAACATATATGAGTATATATATTGTGCTGTAGAGGCTTGAACTCAGGGTCTGGCTGCTATCCCTTAGCATTTCTGCTCAAAGGTATTTGAACCATAGCTTCACTTCTGGCTTTTTATTGGTTCATTAAGAAATAAGAACGTTGAATCTGTCTGTCTAGGGTGCCTTCGAACCTCAATCTCCAGATCTCAGCCTCCTGAGAAGCTAAGATTATAGGTGTGAGCCACCAGCACCCCCACTAAACTGTTCTAACCCTTTGCTATGGGTGGTTCCCCTGTGGCAGGCTATTTAGCTGCACCCCTGGCCTCCTTCCACTAGGTAGTGGTAGCATTTCTTCTATATTTGTGACAACTAAGTTTCCAGACAACCAAAGTCCCCAACTCAGTGTCCAGGTTGAGAACCACTGCTCCAGATATATTCCGCTAATCAGAAATATATAGAAGTCTTATTTTATCATCTTTATTAGTAGCAAAATCAAGACATTTCAAGAAAAAATAAGTTCACTGTACATATAGTTTAGCCAAATACCTTAAAATAGAATCAGTACATTCATAATTTTTCCCATCTTTCTTTGACAACAAAATTATTCCAAAGCCATTATTCCAAAGTAGTTTGTATCTATAACCTTAGCTATATGGGAGGCTGTTATCAGTAGGCCCAAGGGTCAAGGACAGCCTGGACCTAAAAGCTCAAGAGATTCCCTTCTTAACTGAAAGCTGGGTGAAGCTGCTCACACCTGTCTTCCCAAGCTATATGGGAAGCTAAGGTCAAAGGACCTCAATCCCAACCCTGCTCAAGAAGAAAAATCCACAAGATTCCATGTTCACAGGAAAGATGACATGTACCCAGGATCCCAGCAATATGGGATCAAAGATCAGACACATGCCTGGGTAGAAATGGGAGACTCTCTCCTTAAAATGGCCATTGAAAAACCAGGGACAGGGGCATAGCCAGCAATATTGTACCAGCCTAGCTAGTTTAAACCCCTTCAGTACCAACAATGAACTACATGGTCATGGTGGTACATGCCTGTAATCCCAGCACTCAGGAACCTGAGGCAAGAAGATTTTGATTTTGAAGCCAGTCTGGGCTACCTAAGTGAGACCACCTTAAAAAAAAAAAGTTAATGGAAGTGAAATTTTTTTGATTAATCTGGAAAACATAAACTTCATTTAGTTCCATTCTAACTTCTACTTATTCATTACCTGCCACTTCAGAGCATAAAAGTTAGTGGTTTTTGCCAGGCTTTATATTTAAAATATTAAGTTACCAGGTGCCAGTGGCTCACCCCTATAAATCCTAGTTACTCAGGAGACTGAGCTCTAAGGATCACAGTTTGAAACTAAACCTGGAAGTAAAGTCCATCAGATTCTTATCTCCAATGAACCACCAAAGAAGCTGAAAGTTGAGCTGAAGCTCCAGTGGTAGTGCTAGCTTTGAGCCAAAAAACTCAGAAGAGTTCAAGCCCAGGACTGGCACAAGAAAGAAAAAAAAAAAGTGGGAACCACTGTGATTATTTTCTTATTCTAGTCATAAATTAATACTTTATAAACTTTACTCCCATGATACACTACAGCTGAAAGAATAAGGAAAGCACCACAATAAACTAAGAAACTACATTCTAATTTTTGTAGATATAGAGTTCCTTAGAATTTTTCAATCAAGTTCATTAGCACAGCTGAAGTAGGCAACACTCTACAAACGGCTTTTATTTACTATGTAGTTCTTAGGATAAATATGTTTAGACTTTGGCTGGATAGTCACATGGAGACTATAAAGATAGTTACTGTGCATTACTACTCGGTGAAATTTCTTGCCTTCTTTCATGATTTCTTCAGTTGTTTTATCAGTAGACATACAATTGTCTACAAAGTATGAATCTTCTATATACAGTTCATCTCCTGAAAAATAAATTTTTTTTAAAAAAAGCATTAATTCCTTAGAATTGAAATTCTATTTCCCCACAGTGAAGTTTGAATACAAGACTTCAGGCCTCAAGTTAGATGAGGACTCTACAATTTAAGCCACATATCCAGCCTTTTTTTTTTTTTTTTTGCCTGTTCTGGGGCTTGAACTCAGGGCCTGAGCACAGTCCCTGAGCTGCCTTTGTTCAAGGATGGTGCTCTACCACTTGAACCACAGTGCCACTTCCAGCTTTTTCTGTTTATGAAGGCTGCATGCATGCTAGGCATGCTAGGCTAAATCACATTCCCACCCCCAATATCCAGACTTTATAAAATGTTATTTTGTATATCACCATCCCAGTATATTTAGTGACATATAAACCAATATTTGTATGTATTTTGTGTATTTGGGAACTGAATTACTTGTTAAATAACACTAAGTTCAACTTCTTTCTTGGACTTTTTCATATCTCTACCTTCTAGCCAAGTGTTTTCTTTAGGCACATAAAGATATATGACTGACCCAATGCCATTAGCTCATGCCTATAACCCTAGCTACTCTGTAGGTTGAGATATGAGGATTATAGTCCAAAGCCAGCCACAGCGAAAAGTGAGACAGCCAGAACTGAGGTATAGCTCAGGTAGTAGAGCACCTCCTTGAGCAAAAAAGCTAAGTGTCATCGCCCAGACCCTAGGTTCACGCCCCAGTATTGGCATCAAAGCAATAACTATTACTGGTGCTCTGTTACTTACCCGGAAAAAGCCTGATGGTAGAGTCAGCAGTTTTCAGTGTGATGGGCATCCATGTTTCAGGCCCCTCCAATGCATGATCCAAACAAAATTTATGTAAGGCAGAAAAGGAAGTGAAGTTTGCAAGTCTTCTTATTTCATAGAACTGTGGGCAGGCCAACCAAATATTTTTGGAAAGGAAATTTTCAGTTGCCTCTGATGGAGATAACCACTGTGGGAGATAAAGGGTCAGCTTGGTCAGATTTATTTCATTGACATTGTTAGGTTTGGGAGATGAGGTTTACTGACAGACATAACATTAATTCCTTGAAGTATCTTACAAAATCTTCCTAAAGCCAGGCCCCGGTGGCTCACACATGTAATCCTAGCTTACTCAGGAGGCTGAGACCTGAGGATTGCAGTTCAAAGCCAGCACAGGCAGGAAAGTCCATGAAACTCTCTCTTTTTTTTTTTTTTGGTCAGTCATGGGGCCTGAACTCTGGGCCTGGGCGCTGTCCTTCAGCTCTTCAGCTGTAGACTAGCACTCTACCACTTGAGCCTCAGCCCCACTTCCAGCTTTTTCTGCTTATGTGGTGCTGAGAATTGAACCCAGGGCCTCATGCATACAAGGCAAGCGCTCTACTACTGAGCCACCTTCCCAGCCCCTGTGAAACTCTTATGTCCAATAAACCACCAGAAAACCAGAAGTGGTTCTGTGGCTCAAGTGATAGAGTGCTAGTCTTGAGCTGAAGAGCTGAGGAACAGCGCCCAGGCACAGAGTACAAATCCCATGACAAAAAAAAAAAAAAATCTAGGCAGAATTGCTTCAGTATAGGAGACTAGCTTACACAACACAATGAGACTAAACCTTTTTGGAGGGAGAGTGGGGGTAGAGGGGAAGTGGGTGGTGGTATTGGGATTTGAACTTGGGGCCTGAATGCTGTCTTTAGCCTTTTTACTCAAAGCTAGCATCTACCTTTTCAGCCCCAGATCCACTTCCAGCCTTTCAATGGTTTATTAAAGGCAAGAGACTCAAGATTCTCAAATCTCAGCCTCCAAAGTTAAATAGGATTATAGGTATGAGCCACCACCTCAACTTTCATTCTAGTCTTTTTCATTTATTTTATGCCCATCCTGGGGGCTGTCCCTGAGCTTCTTTTGCCCAAGGCTAGTGCTCTACCACCTTCGGCTTGTTGGAGGTTAATTGGAGGTAAGAGTCTCACAAGCCGGGCGACCGTAGTTCACATCTGTAATCCCAGCTACTCAGGAGGCCCAGATCTGAGGATCGAGGTTCAAAGCCAGCTCGGGCAGGAAACTCGGAGAGACTCTTATCTCCAATAAACCACTAGAAAACCGGAAGTGGCGCTGTGGCTCAAGTGGTAGAGCACTCGCTTTGAGCTGTAGAGCTGAGGGACAGCGCCCAGGCCCAGAGTTCAAGCCCCACGACCAAGAAAAAAAAGAGTCTCACAGACTTTCCTGCCTGGGCTGGCTTTGAACCAAGATACTCAGATTTCAGCCTCCTGAGTAGCTAGGATTACAGGTGTGAGCCACCAGTACCCAGCAAGACTTGATCTTACTATCTAACTAAAGGTGGTCCCAAACTCATGATCCTCTGCCTCAGCCTCTAGAGTGCTGGGATGACAGATGTGTATTAGCAAATCTGACTTTGTGGGTGACAAAACTTAAAGATGCTGAAAGAAACCAGTAGAGAAAGTGACACTGTGGCTCAAGTAGTAGAGTGCTAGCCTTGAGCACAAAGAGGCTCAGGGACAGCACCCAGGCCCTGAGTTAAAAAGCTCCACGAAGTTGGGTGCTGGTGGCTCACGCCTGTAATCCTAGCTACTCGGGGCTAGGATCTGAGGATTGCAGTTCAAAGCCAGCCCAGGCAGTAAAGTCAATAAACCACTCAGAAAACCAGAAGTGGTACTGTGGCTCAAGTGGTAGAGCACTCGCCTTGAGCTGAAGAGCTGACAGTCCGCATTCAGGAGAAGTAAAAAAAAAAAAAGCCCCACAACTAACAGAAAAACAGCAAAACAAAACAAATGTAACATGTTTATTGCCAGGTGCTAGTGGTTCATGCCTGTAATCCTAGCTACTCAAGAGACTGAGATCTGAGGATCATGGTTTGAAGCCAGCTGGTGCAGAAAAGTGGTGCTGTGGCTTATGGTAGAATACTAGCCTGAGGCACAAAGGGGCTTAGAGAGACAGCACCAAGGCCAGCCTGGCTGGCTTTAAACCAGGATTCTCAGATCTCAGTCCCCTGAGTAATTAGGATTATAGGTGTGAGGCACCAGTACCCAGCTTTTCAGTTTTTTTTGGTTGGCTGTGGGGCCTGAACTCTGGGCCTGGGCACTGTCCCTCAGCTCTTCAGCTCAAGGCTAACGCTCTACCACTAGTGCCACAGGGCCACTTCTGGCTTTTTCTGCTTATGTGGTGCTGAGGAATCCAATCCAGGGCCTCATGCATGCAAGGCAAGCACTCTACCACTGAGCCATCTCCCCAGCTCTCAGTCTATTCTTTTTTGTTTTTGGTGATGGTCATGGGGCTTGAACTCTGGGCTTGGGCTCTTCAGTTCAAGGTGAGAGCTCTACCACTTGAGCCACAGCACCACTTCAGGTTTTCGAGGAGGGGGGGAGGATTATTGGAGATAAGAGTCTCACGGGCTTTCCTGCCTGGGCTGGCTTTTAACCGAGATCCTCCGAGCTCAGTCTCCTGAGTAGTTAGGATTACAGGCGTGAGCCACGGGCGCCCGGCTCCTCGGTCTGTTCTTAAGAGCTTGGTTTTTGAGACATTAGCCCTGAGAACCAATAAATGAATAGGACAGATCCCGATCCCCAAAGCTTGGGCTTGGAGAGCTCTTCAGCAAATGGCCACAGGAAAAAAATGGAAAAGGGAAAAAAATAAATAAAGATCTGTGCCCTGAAAGAGAAGTCCCCCAACATTCTTCCTGTTTATTCTTCCAGAGTGACCCATAGCCGCCCCAAATTATCACATCCCAGTTGACACAAACTGATCAATTTTTAGAGCCAATCTGAAATTAGTGTAGTCAATGATGGCCAATCTGTCTGCCAAGTGAATCCCTTAAATAACAGATTGGAGGGCTGGGAAAGTGGCTCAGTGGTAGAGCGCTTGCCTTGCATGCCTGAGGCCCTGGGTTCGATTCTTCAGCACCACATAAGCAAAAAGAAAAAAAGCCGGAAGTGGCGCTGTGGCTCAAGTGGTAGAGCGCTAGCCTTGAGCTGAAGAGCTGAGGGACAGCGCCCAGGCCCAGAGTTCAGGCCCATGACCGGATCCAAAAATAAATAAATAAATAACAGATTGGGAAATGGCTTAAAATGAGAAATTTGGCAGTAGTATTGAATGGCGCTACAAATGTAAAGGATTACCATGCACATGCAAATAAATGGTTGATTAGTATAAATTAGTATACAGATGATTGGTTAGTTCTTGAGACAGAAAAGGTGTGCCTATCATCAGAGCTATGGCAGGAAGCATAAATAGATTGAATTGTACAAGTCAAAGTGAGATCCTCTTTTGAAAATAACCAGAATATAAAGGGGGAGGGGACGAAAAACAGAGTATGTCGCAAGCAAAAGAGAACTTCCTAGAATGCGGGATGGCCGGCCAGAGTTCAAATCTCAGTACTAGAGGGAATAAAAGAGGGGAGGGGAGAGACAGGCGTCACTGGCTCACGCCTTTAATCCTAGCTACTCAGAAAGTGGAGATCTGAGGTTCCAGGTTTAAAGCCAGGAAGAAAGTCCAGGAGACTCTTAGCCTCCAATGAACCAGATGGCCAAGAAAGCATGAAGTGGAATTGTGGATCAAGTGAGCCTGAAGCACAAAGGCTCAGGGACAGCACCCAGGCCTTGAGTTGAAGCCCCAGGAAACATAAAAAGAAAAAATGCAGGAAAGCAAGCAATCAAGTGGGAAAGGAAGAAGAGGGAAGAGGAGTCAAAGGAGCAGGAGAGAGGCAGGGTAGGGAGAGGTGTGTCTGTGGGGTGGGGTGGTCCAGGCGGCTCTCTGGCTTCCCGATCACCACGCGTCGCCGTCCCTACCTGGCATTCGGTCACCTCGCTCAGGTCGGGATCGGCGGACGGCGGCTCGAGCAGGCAGCAGAGGAAGAAGGCGGTGTTGAAGCGGCGGCGGGCGCCCGGGAAGGGCGGCGTGAGCCACCCGCTCCAGTCGCGCAGGGCCCAGACGTCGGGGGCGCAGTCCAGGTGCGCGCACAGGCTGAGGAACTGGCGCGGGTCGCTGCGGACGCGCGCACGCCAGGCGTCCAGGCCGGCGGGCGGGGCGAGAGCGCGGGCGGGCTCGGGAGCCGGAGCCCCGGCGCCTCGGGCCGGCAGAGCACGCCGGGGCCGCAGTAGCAGCACTCCCGCCTCTTCGAAGGTCTCGCGGATGGCACAGATGCGCTCGGCCACATCATCAGGCAGCGCCGCGGGGTCGGCGGCGTCGGGCTGGAAGTCAGGCAGCCCCGGGAGAAAGGCGGCGCGCGGGCGCGCCGACAGGCCCAGGCCGAAGCGTGCAGGCTCGTGGTGCGGCGCCAAGAGACGAAGCCAGTCCGGCGAGCGATCCGCCGCGTCCAGCACGCCGCCCGGGAAGACGTGAGCGTTGGGCAGAAAGCCCTGATTGGCTGCCCGCTTCAGCAGCAATAGCCGGAAGTCCTCGGCGGGCGGCGGGGGCAACGACCCGGCCGCGGCCGGGCGGGTCCAGCCGGCCGCCAGGATCACCGTGGCTGCCCGCCGCCAGAGGCTGGGGCCGGGAGGCAGAGCGGTGCTCATGGAGGGAGACGGAGCTCGGCTCCGACCCTAGATCGCCTGGAGGGCTGGGCGCCAATCCCGGCTCCCTTCCCGAGCGGGAGAAGCAGCACCCGGTGCTCAGCAAGCTGACCTAGTCAGCCTTTGCTCAGACTGACGCCGGCCCGTGGGAGGAGCATTGCCCTCCTCCACTCTCCTCACACCCTTCTCCTCCCCTTCTCCTCCTCCTCCTCTCCCCCTTCTTCCTCCCTCCTCTGTCTCTACCCCTTCCTCCGCTTTCTACCTCTCTCCTCCTTCCCGTCCCACCAAAGGCCTGTTTTTGCCCCCTGGTCAGTCTCCTGGAACACTTGGGCTGTCAACCACTGCCAGGGATCCAGCGATTGGCCTTAATAGGGAGACTTAACCTGTCTCTCACTCAGAACGTTTGGACTCCAGAAGGGCCCTGATGCCTTCAAGCCTATCATCCTGACTACTCTGGAGGCTGAGATCTAAGGATCATGGTGGGAAAGCCAAGCCAGGGCAGACAAACCTGAGAAATTCTTGTTTCTAGTGAACCAACAACAAAAACCGGAAGTGGAGGTGGGGCTCAGGTGGTAGTGTGTCAGCCTTGAGCCAGAAAGGTAAGCCAGAATGCCAGGCCCTGATTTCAAAAGCCTGTACTAGGCATGAGAAATAGAGAGCATTTAGGAGGAAGACTTAATGCGGTGTGATAATTGATGAAATATTCACAGCAAAAGAGAGGAACATGATTGTTGCTTGGATTCCGCATAAGGCACTAGGAACTTCAAGTTTGTTATGTAATACAAAACCCTATAGCCAGGAGCTCGTGCCTGTAATTCTAGCTACTCTGGAAGTTGAGATCTAAGGATCACATTTTGAAGCCAGCTCTGGCAAGAAAGTCTTAAGACTTATCTCCAATTAACCACTGTTAGCCCAGTGAGCTCTCTTCTCACAGCTTAGCATGCTCCTTCCCTAGGCAACACTAGGGCCCATTTAGTAAAGGCAGTAAATAATCAGCCTCCAACCCCTTTTACTTTGAGATAGCACCCCTCTGGGGCAGTTACCACCATAGAAGGCAGCAAGATCCCCTTAGAGTGATCTTCAGGTCTGGGCAGCTGCAAGGCCCCTTATTTACTATTTGGGCAGCAGCCGTAAATCCTAGTCCACCATGATGAAGCCGCTGGTCCTCATGTCCACACTAGGGTCTCCACCTCCTAGACCCTTCTAGTCCCTCCTAGCCTCAGTAGGTTATGTAGGTCATCTCAGACAATAGGCAGCACTTCTCACTTCTCTCTTGTGGGTCTCTTGCCTGTCTCTTTGCTGGCAATAAATCTTTGTTCTTTGTACCTGGATGTCTGCATGATTTTCTGACAACGTCTAATATACTCATAACAACCACTGAGAAAGTTACAAGTGGAGCTGTGATTTAGGTGGTAGAGCAACAGCAGATCAAAAACAAAAACAAGGGCTGGGAAGGCGGCTCAGTGGTAGAGCGCTTGCCTTGCATGCATGAGGACCTGGGTTCAATTCCTCAGCACCACATAAGCAAAAAGAAAAAAGCCGGAAGTGGCGCTGTGGCTCAAGTGTTAGAGCACTAGCCTTGAGCTGAAGAGCTGAGGGACAGTAGCCAGGCCCAGAGTTCAGGCCCCACGACCGGACCCCCCAAAAAAAAAAAAAAACAAGCAAAACTCCCCATAAACCAAGAATCAGGGTCCAGGCCCTGAGTTCAAGTGCCAGAACTGGCACAAAAGAAATAGGACTTATGGTAGAAAGTTATCACTGTTTCACATATTACTAGCCATTTAAGGAAGAATTAAATATCTTTTTTTTGGGGGGGTCCGGTCATGGGCCTGAACTCTGGGCCTGGGCACTGTCCCTCAGCTCTTCAGCTCGAGGCTAGCACTCTACCACATGAGCCACAGCGCCACTTCCGGCTTCTTTTCTTTTTGCTTATATGGTGCTGAGGAATTGAACCCAGGGCCTCATGCATGCAAGATAAGCACTCTACCACTGAGCCATCTTAACAGCCCCAGAATTAAATATCTTTAATAATGGACACTGTTCACTACAGAACAATATAATGGCTTTGTGAGTTAAATGTCTTCATTTGAACTGGTTTTCCTGAGTAAATGCTGGTCACTTCTGACTCACTCCCAGAGTGGAGAGCAAAGGGAAAACAACTGGATTTTGACCAATGCAGAACCATCTTCAAAACCAGCACACTAAGCCGGGCACCAGTGGCTCACATCTGTAATCCTAGCTACTCACAAGGCTTAGATTAGGATCACAGTTCAAAGCCAGCCTAGGCAGGAAAATCCATGAGACTCATCTCCAATTAACCACCAAGAAACCGGAAGTTGTGTTATGGCTCAAGTGGTAGAGCACTTGCCTTGAGCTGAAGAGTTAGGGGACAGCGTGCAGGCCCAGAGTTCAAGCCCCCTGACTAACCAATAAAACCAAAAAACCCACAAAAACAGCACACTGCTGCGTCTATTCTACTCAAAGAGCTCTTTAAATGATTCAATGCTGATTTATGTATGGAACCAGAAATTATATAACCTCAATTACCTGAATGGTAGCCAAGAATCAGAACATAAAGGACAGCCCTGAGTATAAAAAGAGGTACAACTGGGCACCAGTGGCACCGGTAATGCTTAACTACTCAGGAGGCTGAGGTCTGAGTTGTAAGTTTGAAGACAGTCTAGACAGGAAAATCTATATCTCATATCCAGTTAACTAGCAAAAAGACAGAAGTGGTGTGGCTCAAAAAAGCACAAGCATGAGCAGGAAAAGCTAAACAAGCATAAAGCCCTGAGGTCAAGCTCCAGTACACTCTCCCTCTCTCAGAGGAAAGGAAAAAAAATGATTGCAAAGAAAACTCAACATGATAGAGGCTATTGATAGTGGTTTACTTTGTCCCTCGTGACTAGCCAGTATTAGGATCTCTCTCTGAACCTACCAGCATTTTCCCAGAGTGCCCTGCCATTAATGCCACGGGGATGGCACCAGGCCAGCTGTTCCAGGCCTCACCAAGTGCACACAGCCATACCACTATGAGCATTACCAATTATTCTGTGCCACTAGGTCTCCAGAGAATTGGTGGCTTTGATTATGACAACAGTTGCTCACTTCATAACTAAAAATGACCTAATTCAGCCAGGCTCTAGTGGCTTATGCCTATCCTAGCTACTCAGGAGTCTGAGTTCTGAGGATTACAATTCAATGCAAGCAGGAAAGTCCATGAGCTCTTATCTCTAATTAATCAGCAAAAAGACAGTACACACAAAATTCACTTTTTTTGTTTTGTTTTTCCACCATGGGGCTTGAACTTTGGGCCTGGGCACTGTCCCTGAGCTCTTCAGCTCGAAGCAAGTATTCTATCACTTGAGCCACAGAGCCATTTCTGATTTTCTGGTGGTGAATTGGAGATAAGAATCTCACAGACTTTCCTGCCCTGGGCTGGCTTTGAACTATGATCCTCAGATCTCAGCCTCTTGAGTAGCTAGGATGACAGGTGTGAGCCACCAGTGCCCAGCCAAAAAACCCACTTCTTTCTGCATTATTTAACTGTATACACAAAGGTTTATTCTGGGCACTATTGGTCTATATATTTGTCTTTATTTTAGTACCACCTTGTTTTGACTATGGTGACTTTGGAGTAAGGTTTTTTGTGTTGTTGTTTTTTTAATTGTTTTTACAGATCCTGGAGTTTGAGCCCAGGGACTGGGTGTTGTCCTGGAGCTTCTGCTCAAAGCTAGCACTCTACCACTTGAACCACAACACCACGTCAGGCCTTTTCTGAGTAATTTATTGGAGATGAAAGTCTCATGGACTTTTCTTCCCTGGTCAGCTTCAAGCCACAGTCCTCAGATCTCTGCCTCCCAAGTAGCTAGAATTATAGGCTAAGCCTCTGGCAAACAGCTATAATTAAGTTTTGAAGTCCAGAAGTATGAGTCTTACAACTTCTTTGTTTGTTATTAAGACATTATGGCTGTTCCTTTGAGATTCCAAAGGAATTTTAGAATGATCTTTTCTGTTTCTACAAAACTGTCATTAGGATTATGATAGATTGGTACTGGGAAGGTGGCTTAGTGGTAGAGTGCTTGTCTTGTATGCATGAGGCCCTTGGTTCGATTCCTCTGCACCACATAAGCAAAAAGAAAAAAGCCGGAAGTGGCGCTGTGGCTCAAGTGGTAGAGCGCTAGCCTTGAGCTGAAGAGCTGAGGGACAGCGCCCAGGCCCAGAGTTCAGGCCCCAGAAAAGATTATGATAGATTGAATTGACTCTGTAAATAGCTTTGGGTAGTGTGGGGGGGTGGGGGGTGAGACTTAAATTTGAGTCTCCAGTACTGTCCCTTAGCTTTTTTGCTCAACCACTTTTAAGCCATAGCTCCACTTCTGGCTTTTTTTGTTCCTTAATTGGAGATAAGGGTCTCATGGATTTTTCTGCCCAGATATGCTTCCAACTGCCATCCTCAGCCATCTGAGTAGCTAGGATACAGGAATGAGCCGCTGGTGCCTAGATCAGTTAATGATGATCATTAAAATGATTAATCAACAAACTGTAAATATTTTCTCTCATGTGGAAGTTAGATCTAAAATATACTAGGACATGATAAATGATACAGGACTGTAGGCATTCTTAGGAGAGGGACACAAAGGTGCAATGCCTACGTGTTGCTGATCATATAAAATAATCTTTACTGAAATGAACTCCAGGAAATGGAAATGAGGTTTTTTTTTCTTTGTGTTTTCTTTTTGTCTTGTTTATCTGTCTTTGAGAGGGCAAATGGGGAGTTGGGGGGGGCACAGAAATGGAGGGACAAAGGGTGAAAATGCAGCAATGGTACTCACTGGACACAGTTGAAAATGAACCATACAGCCAGGCGCTGGTGGCTCACACTTGTAATCCTAGCTACTCAGGAAGCTGAGATCTAAGTATCAAGGTTCAAAGCCAGCCTGGGCAGAAAAGTCCCAATGAGATGCTTTATCTCCAGTTATCCACTCAAAAACCGGAAGTGGTGCTGTGGCTCAAGTGACAAAGCACTAGCCTTGAGCACAAAGAGGCTCAGGGATAGCATCAGGCTCTGAATTCAAGCCTCACAACCACCACCAACAAAAAAGGACTATACAACTTGTAGGTAGGGATGGGAGAGCAGAAAGGGAAGGGGTGACATTGCCCAAACAGAAATGTACCTTTTACCTGACTTATGTAACTGCCACCCCTCTGTACATCACCTTTATAATAACAATAAAAATACTTACCAAAGAATGACTAATCATTTTAAAATGAATATTGAGTTTAAAATAAATTTTATTTATTTTGTTCACGACTTCTAGACAGTAACCACTAAATTATCAGACTGCATTCCAAGACACATCCAAACAAGAAACTCAAAACTAAAACCAACAAAAATCACCCTTTTTTGCTTAACTGCATTTTGTTAAAAAAAAAAAATTTAGAAGGGATCTTGAGCCAAGCAGTCATGACCTCCATTTCACAAATAGGCACAAGGAGATCAATGACTTGAGGTACTTGAAGAGAGAGAGAGAGAGAGAGCGCTCCCAGCCATCACAGCTGGCTAGGGTTTGAAGGAGGAGGCACATCCCAAAGCGATGCCCAAGTGTGTTGTACAACACTTTTTCCTCAGGTTGTCACACAGGCTCAAACTTCAGCATTCACACTGTTATGAAACATTCATTACACAACAGAGTAGGACATTGGAGGGGAGGGAGACTGAATAGCTAAAAACAGATCAGTGTGAACATTAGGGAAAACAAATGCAGCATTACCAGGGTCTTCATGCAGACCAGGACTCTCTTCAGCTGAACTACTTGTTAATATCAGACACTTGTCAATCATTCATTATCGCATATCTTTTTACATGTTACTGTAAACCTTAGGTAAATCATGAAGTTTATGATTTAATCTTTTGTTTTGGTGCCGGGCCTGGGCTTGAACTCAGGGCTTGAGCACTGTTCCTTGAGCTTCTTTTGCTCAAGGCTAGCACTTTACCACTTGAGCCAGAGCTCCACTTGTGGCTTTTTTAAACATTTGGTGGTTTGGAAATAAAAGTCTCATGGATTTTTAAATGTTCGAGATAAGAGTCTCATGGACTTTCCTGCTTAGACTGACTTTGAACCAAGATCCTCAGAGCTCAGCCTTCTGAGTAGCTAGGACTAGGTGTGAGCCTCCTGCTCCTGGCTAAATTTATGATTTTGTCAAAAAATTTTCCCTCATGCAATTTAAAAACATATCTCTTCAGAACATACAGAGAATTTCCCAGACATTTTTTCTGCTACAAATATGACTATTACTTTTCTAATAGCAATAGATCAGCAAACAAAGCAGATAGATACCTTGACATTCCAAGTTACTTTTTAAATTTTTTATTTATTTTTGTGCTCGTGCACTTGGAGCCTCAGGTTCTTGCTTGGCTTTTCTTGCTCAATGCTGGTGCTCTACCACTTGAGCCTATACCTCCACTTCCAGCTTTTCTACTGGCTATTTGGAGTTAAGAATCTCTTGGATTTATCTGCCTATGCTGGCTTTTTTTTTTTTTTTTTTTTTGCCAGTCCTGGGGCTTGAACTCAGAACCTGGGCACTATCTCTGAGCTTCTTTTGCTCAAGGCTAGCGCTCTACCCTTGAGCCACAGCACCACTCCCAGCTTTCTCTGTTTATATGGTAGTGAGGAATCAAGCTCAGGGCTTCATGCATGCTAGGCAAGCACTCTACCACTAAGCCACAGTCCCAGCCTTATGCTAGTTTTGAACCCTAATCTCAGCTAACATTAGCTAAGATTAAAGGCATGAGCCATCTTCACTGGGCAAGTTAATGCATCTTGAGGTTTTTTTTTAAAAAATTTATATATATATATATATTTGTATCATGGTATAAGATCATACCAAATGCTTATGAAAAATAATGACTTCAATGGCAAAACATCTAAATTGAATCCATCTACTATCAAAAAACCTGTCTTTGAATTATATATTAAGAAAAGGAGAGCGAAGATACTAGTTAGAAAGCACAGGCAGAAAGTAAATTTGCTTGTGTTATGTATCAGAAGTTGTATTAGACAATGTTATAACTACAATGAATATTTCTAATGTTTAAAAATTTCAAACAACATTTTTAGGCTAACAGTCAACAGAATAAATATGTTTAGTTCAGCATTTCCTCTTGTGTGACTTATGTGTGTGCATATATGTGCCAATCCTGGATCTTGAACTTTGGACCTGTGTGTTGTCTCTGAGCACTTTTTTTTTTCTTCTCAAGGCTAGCACTTTACTACTTGAGCCATAGCTTCACTTCTAACTTTTTGGTGGTTCATTGAAGATAAAAGTCTCAAACTTTCCTTCACAAACTGGCTTTGAACCATGATCCTTGATCTCAGTGCTAGCCACTGGCACCTGGCCCTTTTGTAACATCACTAATTTCAGTGAGTGGAAGACTCTCAGAATCAAATACATAACTGATTATGAAGATTAATTAAATACTCTCTACTCTCAATGGATTACCCAACAGTGAAATGGGTTGTTCCCTTTTTGTTTATTTGTTTGTGTGGCAGTCTGAGTCTTGAACCCAGGGCTTCATGCTCTCACTTGGCTTTTCTGCTCAAGTGTGGCCCTCTATGACTTGAGTCATAACTCCACTTTCATCTTTTGGCTGGTTAAATCCAGATAAAAGTCTCCTGGACTTTCCTGCACAGACGGGTTGTTCCTTTAATAGATTCTGCTGGGCAATTTTTTTTCCTCTATGGGCCAAAAAAAGCCTTGATAAGAACAAATCATCTCAGTTTTAGAAACAGCAGAATAGGGATTGGATTTTTAAAGATTTCCCAACACAGGATCACACAATGCCCCAGATTTCCCTTTCCTTCCCTGGACTGGTTTCCAAACCTCATCCTCAGATCTCAGCTTCCTGAGTAGCTAGGATCACAGATGAGTCACCTAGTGCCAGACTTTTATTTGGCTCATTGGCACATATAAATGTGACCCAATGTCCTTTGCTTCTTTTTTTAATAGCTTTGAATAGTTCATGATATGATATCCTTTCAGATGATGATTTTATTTCCAAATTGAACTCTGTGTGTGTGTGTGTGTGTGTGTGTGTTATTTTGGTGGGTGGTGGGGCTTAAACTCAGAGCCTGAATGCTGTTCCTGAGCTCTTTTTTTGCTTCTGGCTAGTGCTCTACCACTTTGAGTCACGGCTTCACTTCCGGTTTTTGAGTAGTTGATGGACCGGTAAAAGTCTCACAGGGGCTTTTCTGCTGGGGTCGACTTTACACCTTCAACCTCAGATCTCAGCCTCCTGAGTAGCTAGGATTACAGGCTGAGCCACCGGTGCCCCATTAAAGCAGTTACATTTTAACCCAGTTTCACAACTGATGGCCTCACAGCTTCAGTTGGGCCAATAAAGCCACAATGCCCTTTCTGACTGTGTGGGGGTCAGACAGCTTCCAGCCTATTGGTCAGCCAGCAAATTCCAGGGGATAGACCGGATTAAGTGCTCCAAAGAGGATTCCCCAGCCCTACCTCAAAGGAGGATCAAACACTCTGGTCTCTTAAGGGAACAAAAATAAAGCCCCCAGAAAGGAAGAAAGTACCTTGTTTGTTTACATAGTGGATGGCCCTTCTGTAAGCCTCTCGTGTTTACCTCCTTCCCATCCCAGCTCTGGGGGGGAGGCAAACCAAGCCTTTCCCAATTAGGGTCACAATCCTAAACCTCTCAGAACTGCCTTCAATGACTGACTGTGCCCAGAAGTAGAAATAATCATTTTCACCTTTCGACAAAAAGACTGGGTGGAAACCTCTTAACTGCACACTCGCCTAAATTGAGGGCCCCGAAGGATTAAGGTAATAACAGGTGCTTATATCCGATTGCAATTGGTTTCCAGTCCCCAGCAAACCAAACCAATCACCCACAAAGAGCAACATTATCTGTCCTTCTCTGAACCCCCTTCCACTTCCCCCTCCCTCTCAAATGCAGAGAGGGGGAGACGCTAGCAGGGGTGGGAGGGGAGGGGGTTACCACACTTAGTCTCCATCCTATAAAGATGCCCCAGGAGCACACATGTTAATTTCCTAACTCAGAGGGAGCTGGGAGGGTCACCGGGGACCATTTTCTATTAATAGGAGACAAAGCTCCGGTAGATCTTAGCCATAATGCCCTGACGCCCGAAAATTAACTCTTTGGAGGTGGCGAGGGGGGGGGGAGGGGGGGCAGCCCAGCAGGAGGAAAAAAACCTCATTTAGCCAAAGCGGAAGATGTGCCTTGAGATGCATATGCACCCAGGTTTATTCCCCCCTCCCCACCCCCGACACCCTGCAAAGTTCAGCCCTCCACCCTGAACAAGCCAGAACCCCTCCAGTCTCTCCCCAGTGAATGCATCCCTGGGAAGCAGGGGGAGACGCGCGGTTGGCAACCACCGGGCAGGGGTCAGCTCAACTTTGCCACACACAAGGCCAGGGCCACAGCCACCAGCACCACGGCGCTGAAGACGGTGGCAGCCAGGGCTTTGCTGGGATCGCACGATCCGGATCGTTCTTCTAGAGACATGCCCCCGGCCGAGGAAGCGCCAGCGCTGGCACTGGAGAGGAGTTCGGCGCCAGCCGTTTGGCGAGCTTGCACCGTCCATCGGGGGACGTTGACCCGCATTTCCATGTCGTCGATCATCTCGCCCACCTGTAGGATCTCTCGCTCCAACTGGGGCAGGTCTACGACATCGAAGTCACCCTCGGCCTCGTGGCGCAGGCTGCGTGCGCTCAGGGCGCGCGCGGCCACCGCGGACGAGCCGCCCGCCACCCCGGTGCGCACCAGCGGCCGGCGGGGCGCGTGCAAAGGGAAGGCGGCGCCCAGTGCCAGGGCGCGCTGCATGTCGGCTTCCAACAGATCCAAACAGCCGGAAAAGGCTACCCAGAGTCGTTCGAACTCGGCACGTTCCTCGGCGACCAGGCTGCGATCACGGAGGACCACCGTCAGTCGAGCTCCGGTGGCCACCGCCAATTCCCGGGCCTTCTGGCGCGTCTTCTGTAACTCTTCCCGGAGGTTCTGAGAATCCGCCGAACCCCCCACCGTCAGCACCAGATGATGGTAACACGCGGTGGTCTTGTTGAGCGCATCCAGGAGCGCCTTGCACTCCTCCCTGGCCATCTCGGCGCGCTCCGCGCCGCGCGCAAACCCCGCGGCGACTCGGGATGGAGGTTCGATGCCAGCCTCAGGCTGGGCGATCCGATCGCTTCCTCATGGCCCGTCCAACTCGTTCGGGTGCGTTTGCAGACTCCGTCCCACGGAAAGGCAGTTAGTGAGATCCACGATGTTTGATGCCCCCCCCTTCCCGGGAACTCCGGGGGGGCGTGAAGAGATTGAGGAGGGGGACTCTCCCCCGAGTCCCCTTAGCTGCTTCTCACCGGCTTATCCATCCTCCCCCAGATACGAACCCAGTCATCTAGCCTTCACGGCGTCTCCCAGAGAAGCCTGGGGGTGCGGGACCCATCTTTCCTCCCAGCCCCAGCCCCGGGGAGGGTTGGTGAGCAGGCCTTCCAGAGGAGCGAGCGCAGAGCCTTAGCCTCTGCCAAGGGCGGTCGGGTCGTTACCTAGGATCCGCCCACTCTCATCCGTCCTGAGTGCTCCCCCCCCCCAGTCCCGGGGTAACCCGGGGGGGGGCGCAGATGGAGAAGTCACGTGTGGGTTCCCCTAATCTCCCTCGGTTATAACATTCTGGCAAGTCTCGAGAGGTCGGCGGCAGACACAACCTTTCCTTCTTTTTGACAATAAGAAAACGAATGATCCGGTTTAAAAAAAAAAAAAAGTTTAGCTCACGTGGAGTCTTTGCAAATAAGGAGGGGGGCGGTTTCGAACCCAGGGACCCTGACTACAACTCACTGTCGGCCACACTAAGTGGTGCAGCTCGTAAGACTGGACATCTTTGTCCCTGCAAAACAAGCACTGAAGGGTGACCCCTCCGGACCCGCCAGTTCCCTAGGGGGTGCGTCTCTCCTTCCCAACTTGGCCCAGTTTTCCCGACTCGGAGCATTGGTGTTTGGACCCCACCCCTAAGGAGTATCAGCCCTGCCGAAGCCACGCCCCCTCCCATCTCGGAGCAAGCGCAGTCGGCGTGGATGGGCGGGGCTAAGCCTGAATAGGAAGCGTCTGGGAGGCCGCTGAGCCCGCCCCCTGCGGGGAGCCGGATGCGAGGATTGCTCCGCACCCCCGTCACTCTGGAGGAGACTGGCTGCTCATTGGGCAATCTGGGAAGCTTTACGGGCGCGGCTCCACCCAACGGCGGAGTAAAAAGGGGTGGGTGGTGTTGAGAGTCGCTGCGCCAGGGTGGTGGGCACCGCGGTCCCAGCCGAGACCCCACCCCCTCGGAAGGTGCTGAGGCCACCCGGAGTAAAACTATGTAGCCGCGGGAGTAAGTGTCTTCGCGTCCCGGGTCCTCCCGGGTCCCCCCTTCTCTCGGGACGGCGGCAGAGCCTCGGGGCGGCCCGAGGCCGGGCGGGGCCTGGGAGCGGAGGGGGGAGGGGCTCCTCCCTGGGAGCTGGGAGTGTGTGTGGGGGGGGGGTCCTGGACCCCCTACCCCTTCCACCCCATCCGGTCCACAGTGGGGTGCACTCTTTCCACGCTGCCTGTAGTGTCCACAGGGACAGGGAGGTGGCTCTCAGAATGTGTACTCCGGATCCTCCGGATTTCAGGACCTAGGTCCAGCTGTGTGTGTCGGGGGTGGGTGGGGAGATAGTTTGCACTTAGGGGCAGTGGGCAGCGCCTGGAAGTCGCCTCTAAGGTTTCCTGGTGGCCCGTGGGGTGGGGGCAGGCCGTGTGGCTGCGGGTTGGTGGTGGTGGTGTGTGTGGGGGGATCACTGCCAGCCTGCCAGCCTGCCTGCCTGCCCTTTGTGGGATGGGGGAAAGGAGGGGTCCCCTGGTCCACTACGTAACCATCACTTCTGGAAAACTTCAGTCCCGCTTCCCCCAGATGTTCAGATTCTGCATCTATTCAGCTTATACTTTGCAAACAGACCTCCCGGCTGGCATGGGAGCCAGGCTGTGACACTCTGGGGTCAAGAGACTCATGCTTGCTAGGTGGTGGTGGAGCAGGGGAGGATGTAGGAATTGGGGGAACAGTGGCAAGATGGAAGGGACTATGAGAATGCGCCGGAGCTGGGGTTTGCTAATCATGGTGAGGCCCTCATTTTGACTAAACAGCAAACCCTTCACACTGAGCCTTAATTAAGTGCTCTAGCCGATTATAGTTTGTGTGTGTGTGTGTGTGTTGTCCTAAGGCTTGAACTCTGGGTCTGAGCACTGTACCTGAGAGCTTTTTTTTTAGGCTAGCACTTTATCACTTGAGCTACAGCTCAACTCTGGCTTTCTTTTCTTTTTTCTTTTTTTAGTAGTGTATTGGAAATAAGAACTTCTGGCTTCAAGCCTCCCTCCTCAGATCTCAGTCTCCTGAGTAGCTAGGATTATAGGCATGAGGGCCACAAGCGCCTGACTAAGGTCAAAGTTTTGTCTGTACCTTGATCTTCCATGGGCTTCTTGGACAGGCAGCCTGGTCTTTATTTATTGATGTGTTTTTATGCTGTTGAGTATTTGTTTTTGGCATCTCTCTTGTTGGGACTCTTCCTACTCATTAGTCATTGGCATTAGGCTGGGGTCCAATAACTTTGTCCTGTTAGAGACATTCTAGGGAAATGTGACCACATGATCATAGGACCAGACCTAGAAAGAGTTTAGTCTAGCTGGACACTGGTGGCCTGTTACCCTAGCTACTCAGGAGGCTGAGATCTGAGGATCGTGGTTCAAAACAAGTTGCGACAAGAAAGTTTATTTCACTCTTATCACCAGTGAACCACCAGAAAACCGGAAGTGGTGCTGTAGTTTAAAGTGGTAGAGCGCTAGCCTTTAGTGAAAAAGTTCAAGGATAGTGCCCAGGCCCCAAGTTCAAGTCTCATGACTGACCCAAAAAAATATTTAGAGGAATAGGTACTCTTCCTGTTTCTGGTGCGTGTGTGCAGTACTGGGGTCTTGAACTCAGGGCCTGTGTGCTGCTCCTCAGAATTTTCACTCACAGCTGGTGTTCTACCACTTGTGCTTCAGCTCCACTTGTGACTTTTTGGTGGTTCATTGGAAATGAGTCTCATAGACTTTCTGGCCCACAATCCTCAGATCTCAGCCTCCTGGGTAGCTTACAGGTGTGAGCCATGGTGTCTGTCTGATTCTACTTCTGAAAGATGCTGAGAAATGGCCCTGGGAACGCCTGTACTTCTGCTAAAGATCCTGGCAGAAAAATGGTTGCCTAGTGGGTTCAGCTGCAAGTGGGAAGGTATCTTGCTCCTACTGTTCTTGCAGGCCGGGAACCTTTTTCTTCCCTGTCTTTTTTTTTTTTTGGTCAGTTGTGGGGCTTGAACTCAGAGCCTGTGTGCTGTCCCTGAGCTTTTTCACTCAAGGCTAGCACTCTAACATTTTGAGCCACAGCTCCACTTCCAGTTTTCTGGTGGTTAATGGAGATAAGGGTCTCACAGACTTTCCTGACCAGGCTAGTTTTGAACTGCAGTCCTCAAATCTCAGCCTCCTGAGTAGCTAGGATGACAAGCATGAGCCACCAGCTCCCGGCTTTTCTTCCCTCTCTGAACTCTGCACATTCAAAATTCCACTGTGGTTGAGCAGCTCTGAGTGTATTGTTTGTTTGGGGCTTTTTGCCTTTGTACCCGAGTGGCTACTGCTTGGGTCTAGCCCTTCACCAAATGTGACATGAACAAGGGTCTGGGAACCCCCATGAGAGAGATAAACTCCCCCTGGCTTCCTCTCTTAACTACCCCAATGGTCAGTTCATACAGTTCTCATAGTAGCTGGATGCAGGACTGAGCATTTTAATGAGGAACTTTAAGAAAAAAAAATGGATCACATCTATAAATGTTACAGGCCAGAGGACACCGTGACTATAAAGAATACATCACATCACTGAGTTGCTTCTATTGGTATTAAAAATAGATGAATAGCTGGGCATTGGTAGCTCACTCCTATAACCCTATCTACTCAGGAGGCTGGGGTCTGAGGATGGCAGTTCAAAGCCAGCCTGGGAAGGCAAGTCTGTGAGACTCTTTATCTCCAGTTAACAACAAAAAGCTGGAAGTGATACTCACTATCTTGCCCATGTAATTGTAACCCCTCTGTACAGTATTTTCACAATAAAAAATAAATAAAAATTTAAAAAAAAAGCTGGAAGTGAATCTGTGGCTCAAGTGGTAGAACACTAGCCTTGAGCATAAAAGCTCAGGGACAGTACCCAGGCCCTGAGTTCAAGCACCAGAACCAACAACAACAACAAAAAACTCAGATTTATCTTCCCTGGGCTGGCTTTGAAACCAATGTGGACAAGACATTACAAGAGACTTTCTTTTTTTGGGGTGGTGGTGGTAGTGGTGGTCTCAGGGCTTGAACTCAGTACCTTGGCACTATCCCTGAGCTTTTCTGCTCAAAGCTAGCATTCTACACTTGAGCCATAGCTCTACTTCCACCTTTTTATTTTTTTGGTAGTTCATTGGAGCTAAAAGTCTCATGGGCTTTTCTGCCTGAGCTGATTTTGAACCATGATCCTCCAATTTCAGCCTGAGGTTTTAAGGACTAATGTTACAGCGCCAGTGGCTCACGCCTGTCATCCTAATTACTCAGAAGTCTGAGATCTGAGGATCATGGTTCAAAGCCAGCCCAGACAGGAAAGACTCTTATTTCCAATGAACCACCAAAAAATGCCGGAAGTGGAGCTGTGGCTCAAGTAGTAGAATGCTAGCCTTGAGCACAAAAGCACAAGCACAGCACCCAGATCCTGAGTTCAAGCCACAGGACTGGCAGTTAAAAAAAACAACCACAGCTGGGTGTCAGTGGCTCATGCCTGTAATCCTAGCTACTCAGGAGGCTGAGATCTGAAGATCATGGTTCAAAGCCAGCTGAGGCCAGAAGTGATCCTGTGGCTCAAGCGGTAAAGCACTCGCCTTGGGCTGAAGAGCACAGGGACAGCGCCCAAGCCCAGAGTTCAAGCCCCATGACCGACAAAAACACCCCCCCCCCCCCATAAAAACCCACCCAACCCTGAAGGTGGTCATTCACTGCTTTCTTGTCCTTTGTCCCAGGAGACTCTCTGACCCCTGGGAAGTCCATATGGCTCTGTATGATGAAGACATCCTGAAAAATCCTTTTTATGTGGCTCTTCAGAAGGCACGGCCAGACTTGTGCAGCAGGGTGGCGCAGATCCACGGTGTGGTACGTGCACTGATGCTCAGGACTATCTTCCAGGCCCAGATGATGTCCAGATCATGGTAGACCAGCAACCGGGGGCAGCCTGGAGCTGCTTCCTCCAAGAAGCCTCCTGAGATTGTAGCCAGGAGCTAATTTTTCCCAGTTCCCTGTGTGTGTGTGTGTGTGTGTGTGTGTGTGTGTGTGTGTGTGTGTGTGTGTGTGTGTGTGTGTGTGTGTGTGTGTGTGTGTGTGTGTGTGTGTGTGTGTGTGTGTGTGTGTGTGTGCATGTGCATGTACAGACTCTTGGGCTAGAACTCAGGGCCTTGCACTCTGCCCTGGCTTTTTTGCTCAAGGCTGAGACTCTACCACTTGAGCCACAGCTCCACTTCTGGCTTTTTGGTAGTTTATTGCAGAATCAGAGTCTCATGGTTTTCCAGCCCAGACTGGCTTTGAACTGTGATCCTCAGATCTCAGCCTCTTGGGTGGCTGGGATTATAGGCATGAGTCACTGGTGTTTAGCCCCATGTGACTTTTCCCCTTCTGTGTCCCCCATTACTGTCCCTGCACTGCCTCCAGAGCCACTCAGATCTCGGGGTGGGTGGTACTTAGAGCCAGCGGTAGGGCACGCTGAGCAAATATCTGCTGGGCCCAACAGCCTCCAAGTCAGGATGAACAAGGACCTTCATCCTTGGTCTGCCTGCTTCTGTCATGTCACCTCCATGACAGATATACCCCGTGGGCAGCCAGTGTGGCCTCCTGGAGACCTGCCAGCCGCATCTGGGCCAGCAGCTTCCGGCCAGGAGTGACTCAGCCATCTTTGGAGCCGCTCTAGGGCTGTCCCAACTGCCCAGGACCCTCCTCTCCAGCGCTCTCATGCTCTCTTTCTTACCCTCTCAAGGTCTTAGTGCCCTGCAAAGGGAGCCTGTCTAGCAACCTTAAGCCCACGTATCAGTTCGAGTCCTACCTTTTGATACCAGCAGAAGGACATTTTCAGACCTTCGATGGAAAGGTATTTGTTTCTTGGGTGGCTCCGTCAGTATTTGGAGGGACTGAGAATCTTGTTTTCCAACCCTTCCACAGACGTTGTGTTTAAATGCGAGCTGTGGCAGGCACACAGCACCAGTGGGGGTGGACTCGGGTCGGGGGAGACACCGCCCATGTAATGGAGCCTTAGAGGGAAGAAGGCTGTGGTACCAGTGAGTCTTGAGGCTGGGAGGGGCTGCCTCTCCCTCAGTTGAGGTGGGCCCTTTCCTGAGGGTTGTGGAGTCATGGTCGTCCTCTTTAGTGAGGTCCCTGTCAGGCTGAGATGCTGAGGCAGTTTCTTGGATATTTTGTCTTGTTCAAGACAAAAATACATCTTCAGGCTGGGCATGGCAGTGCACACCTATAATTCCAGCATTCAGGAAGCTGAAGCATATGGATCAAAAGTTCTAATCCAGCTTGAGCTACATAGTGAAACCCTGTCTCCACAAAATAAACCCCACCCTCAAATAGCATACATGGGCATGTGTGTGCACACACACATTTTGAATTAATTTCATTCCCCCACCACAGAAAGCTGAGTAAAGTTCAAAGAACACTGAAAGGCTCTTGAACTCTTTCCCAGATTAGCCAACTATTAACTCTTTTTTTTTTTTTTTTTTATGGTCATGGGGCTTGAACTCTGGGCCTGGGTGCTGTCCCTCAGCTCTTCAGCTCAAGGCCAGTGCTCTACCATCTGAGCCACAGCACCACTTCCAGTTTTCTGGTGGTTAATTGGAGATAAGAGTCTCATGGACTTTCCTGCCTGGGCTGGCTTTGAGCCACAATCCTCAGATCTCAGCCTCCTGAGTAGCTAGGATGACAGGCGTGAGCCACTGGCACCCGGCTAACTCCCCCCCCTCCCCCCCCCCCCCCCCCCCCCCCCGTGTTTATTTTATTTTAAATTTTAGTCACTGTCTCTATTCCAGGATGTCTTTATACAAGGAAACAGGATTAAACTAGGAGCTGGGTTTTCTTGTCTCCTCCCGGTGCCCATCCTCTTTGAAGAGACTTTCTACAATGAAAAAGAAGAAAGTTTCAGTATCCTGTGTATAGCCCATCCTTTGGAGAAGAGGGGAGGCCCAGGTACTTGGGGGAAAGCATGCATGTTGAGCTTCATGTTGAAAGGTTAAAACACACACACGCACACATGTTGAAAGATGACACAAAGCCAAGTACTGGTAGCTCATGCCTGTAATTCCAGCTACTCAAGTTGAAATCTGAGGATCAAGGTTCATGGCCAGCCTGGGCAGAAAAGTGTATGAGACTCTTATCTCCAATTAACCACCAGAAAACTGGAAGTGGTGCTGTAACTCAAAGTGGTAGAGTACTAGCCTTGAGCAGAGGAGCTCAGGGACAGCCCCCAGGCCCTGAGGTTCAAGCCCTATGACACACACACACACACACACACACACACACACACACACACACACACTTCAAGGACAGTGCTCAGGCCCTGTCTTCAAGTTCCAGGACTTTCTCACACACACAAAGCATAGCATAGCCGGGCACTGGTGTAGGATTACAGGCACGCCTGTAATCCTAGCTACTCAGGAGGCTGAGATCTGAGGATCGCGGTTCAAAGCCAGCCTGGGGAAGGAGAGACCGTGAGACTCTTATCTCCAATAAACCACCAGAAAACTGGAAGTGGCGCTGTAGCTCAGGTGGTAGAGCGCTCGCCTTGAGCTGAAGAGCTGAGGGACAGCGCCCAGGCCCAAAGTTCAAGCCCCACGACCGACAAAAAAAAAAAAAAGAAAAAAAAAAAAGCATAGCATAGCATTGTAAAATCTTTTAGAAACCTTAAAGTCATGTCTTGCTAAAGAGAAGTGGACTGGAGGTCGGTGCATGAATGGTTGCCTTGGTTGGGTGTTAGACAATTCCATGTCAGCTTCACCATGTCTGGGATAAATCTGTGGTGTGAATGTCCATCCCTGAGCTGTATAGAACTTTAGCATTGACTTTCTCTTTGGGACTCTTAGTGTGTGTGCACACACGTGTGCAACAGTCATGCGGCTTGAACTCAGGGCCTGGGCACTGTCCCTGAGCTCTTTTGCTCAAGGCTAGTGCTCTACCACTTTGAGTTACAGATTTTCTGGTGATTCATTGGAGATAGGACTCTCATGAACTTTGCTGCCTGGGCTGGCTTTGAACTACGATTCTCAGATCTCAGCCTGAGTAGCTAGGATGACAGGCATGAGCAACAGTGCCCGGCTATTTCTTCTTTTTGTTTAGAAGAGCCTTCAGTGCCTTCGGATCCATTTTTCCTGAAAACCATTGAAGATGTGAGAGAATTTTTGGGAAGACACTCTGAGAGGTTTGACAAGAACATCGCCTGCTTCCACCGGACATCCCGGGAATGTGACAGAAAGAGCCTTCGTCACCTCATAGTCAGTGGCCCTGTCTTTCTATCTCTGCCTGGTGGCTCTGTCTGAGCCAGCTCAGAGCCCAGATGTCCTTCTTCCCCTTTCCCAGCTAGGCCCTCTCCTGCCCTTGCTGAGGTGTTTAAACGAGTCTAAGTATAAAAGTGGCATTTGCAACTACCACAACTTGAGAATCCTGGAGAAGTGGAAATATGAGTGTTGTTAAAATTAATTTTCTTTTGTCCCAATTCTAGGGCTTGAATTCAGGGCTTGTGAGCTGACCCTGAGCTTTTTTGCTCAAGGCTAGCTCTCTCCTGCTTGAATCACAACTCCATTTCTGGCTTTTTGATGATTCATTGGGGATAAAGAGTCTCACACACTTTCCTACTTGGGCTGGCTTTGAGCTGTGGTTCTCAGATGTCACTCTCCTGAGTAGCTGGGATTACAGGTATGAGCCACCGGCACCAACAGAATGTTATTATCATCTAAGTTAACATAAGGCAGGATTTTTTTCCTACTTCTAATGCATGGACACTTAAAGGTGTTGACAGTTGATTTAAAAAAATTGTTTGAAGCCAAGCGCAGGTGGCTTATGCCTGTATAGCTACTTAGGAGGCTAGGATCTGAGGATCACAGTTCAAAGCCAGCCCTAGGCAGACAAGTTTGTGAGACCTTATCTCCAATCACCCAGCAAAAAGCTAGAAGTGGAGGTGTGGTTCAAATGGTAGAATGCCCAACTTGAAAGAAAAAAATGAAGCAAGCCAGGGGCTGGTGGCACCCACATGTTATCCTAGCTATTCAGGAAGCTGAGATCTGAGGATCACAGTTCAAAGCCAGGCTGGGTAGGAAAGTCCATATATCCAGTAAGTTACCAAAAAGCCAGAAGTAGAGTTGTGGCTCAAGTGGTAGAGCGCTAGCTTTGAGCACAAAAGCTCAGGGATAGCACCCAGGCTCTGAGTTCAAGCCCCAATCACACACACACACACACACACACACACACACACACACACACACACACACACACACACACACACACACACACAAACATTGAAGAAGTTTGCATTGCTCCTTCAGGCTTGTCACCCAGGAGATAGAGCTGTTGAGGATTTTCTTATCTCAGTATGTTATGTGTCCTGTCGTCAGGCTTCTGTTCTAAGAGAATCTCTTTCTCTCTCTCTTTTTGTCTCTCTCTCACACACATACACACACACACACACATGTGTTCACAGGACTCAGTGAATGCACTCTACACCAAATGCCTCCAGCAGCTTCTGAGAGACTCTCATTTGGTAAGTGGCAGGACTTTCAAACGCTAGACCTGTCATTGGCCCACATGTAGATTATGGCTCTCTAGCTGCACTTCTTTTGCTTTCTAGAAGGTTCTTGCGAAGCAAGAAGCTCAAATGAATCTGATGAAGCAGGCAGTAGAGGTGAGAAGGGGTAGAGTGGGGGGGCAGTGGGGGGAAATGGGGGGGTGTGGGGGGGAGGGGGGAGTGGGGAGGCATTCTCTGTTGCTGAGCCAGTCCCTTGTTTTCCCAGATGTATGTACATCATGCTACCTATGATCGCATCTTTAAATCCGTGGGGACCATGGAAGCAAGTGAGGTAGGTTGCAAATCCGGCCCCCTTGCAGGTGGAAACTCCGCCCTCTTCTTTTTAAGAAATCTAACTTCACACCAGTGGCTCACAGCTGTCATTCTAGCTGCTCAGGAGGCTGAGATCTGAGGGTCCTGGTTCGAAGCCAGCCAAGGCAGGAAAGTTGTTGTTATTGTTGTTGGTCATGGGGCTTGAACTCTGGGGTCTGGTCACTGTCCCTCAGCTCTTCAGCTCAAGGTGAGCACTCTACTACTTGAGCCATAATGCCATTTCTGGTTTTCTGATGATTAATTGGAGATAAGAGTCTCATGGACTTTCCTGCCCAGGCTGGCTTTGAACCTTGATCCTCAGATCTCAGCCTCCTAGGTAGCTAGGATTACAGGCATGAGCCACGGGTGCCCGGCTACTAAGAGACTCTTATTTCCATTGAACACCTAAAAACCAGAAGTGGAGCTGTGGTTCAAAGTGGTAGAGCACTAGTCTTGAGCAAAATAGCTCACAGTGCCCAGGCCCTGTGTTGAAGCCCCATGACCAAAATTTAAAAAAATCTAGCCAGGCACCTGTGGCTCATACCTGTAATCCTAGCTACTTAGGAGGCTGACCTCTGAGGACTGCAGTTCAAAGCCAGCCTGGACGGGAAAGTCCATAAGTCTTTTTTTTGGTCAGTCCTGGGGGCTGAACTCTGAGCCTGGGCACTGTCCCTAAGCTTTATTTGCTCAATGCAAAGACTCTACCATTTGAGCCACAGCACCACTGCTGGGCTTTTTCTGTGATTAATAGGAGGTGAGAGTTTCTTGGACTTTCCTGCCTGGTCTGGCTTTGAACTGTGATCCTCAGATCTCAGCCTCCTGAGATTATAGGCATGAGCCACTGGCACCCAGCTCCCTGAGACTCTTATCTCTAATGAACTACCAAAAACTTGGGAGTGGAGCCATGGCTCAAGTAGTAGAGCTCTAGCCTTGAGCACAAAATGAGCTTAGGGACAGAGCCCAGGCCCTGAGTTCAAGCCGCAGGACCAGCACCAAAATATAAAAGAAATCTGAAGCTTCCTTTTAAAATCTGTCATTAGGATGCTGCCTTTAACAAAATCACAAGAAGCCTTCAAGATCTTCAGCAGAAAGATCTTGGTGTAAAACCTGAGTTCAGGTAAGTGCCTACATCAGGTCAGGATCCCTAGACATGGGGTACAGTCTTTCCCCACAAGTGAGTCTCTCAGTGGCATTGGCCAGCCTGAGTTGATGTGGTCACCATTAATGACCTGTGCAGCTGCAGAAGGCTGACACTTACTTGTGTGTGTTTGCTAGCCTTCCATACCTGCTGTTCCACTGGCTTAGAACTCACAGGAGTTCTGGCCCCAGGTAGTCTACATGCAGGACCTCTCACTCCTCAACGGAAGGGAATCCTGCCATAGAGGAACCTAATTCTGAGTTAATTAATTTTTATCACTCATGGGGACTTTTTCTCACAAGGCTATTATTCTACCACTTGAGCCACAGCTCTACTTTCAGCCTTTTGAGCTAGTTTCCAACTGAGATCCTCAGCTTTTAGCCTCCCGAATAACTAGGGTGACATGTCACCGAGCAACTTCATTTCTGCATTCTAATGAAATATAAATTAACTCAGGCCGAATCAACTAATACCTGAATCCTATCTACTCAGGAGGCTGAGATCTAAAGATCTCGGCTCAAAGCCAGCCCAGGCAGGAAAGTCGATGAGATTATTATCTCCAATAAACCACTAGAAAATCAGAAGTGACTCAAAGTGGTAGAGCACCAGCCTTGAGCAAAAGAGCTCAGGGATAGAGCCCAGGCCCTGAGTTTAAGTCCCAGGACACACACACACACACACACACACACACACACACACACACACACACACACACACACACACACACACACACACACACACACACACACACACACACACACACACACACACACACACACACACACACACACACACACACACACACACACACACACACACACACACACACGCGCCCAGCTCCTTCCTCTTATGGGCTATTACAGGCCCTGAGTTTAAGTCCCAGGACACACACACACACACACACATCAAGCTCCTTCCTCTTATGGGCTATTAATCCCTAGGGCTGAGATTTTTTTATTTCCAAAGTTTTGGTGCAACAGGGTTCATCTGTTTGTTAGGCTGGTCCCCTAATTCTGTTTATACTTGATGATTTTTTTTTTTATGTACCAGACTTGGGCTAGAACTAGGCCTCACAATCTTGCTTAGCTTTTTTGCTGAAGGTTGTCACTCTACCACTTGAGCCACCCAAGAAGCCTGAATGGGATGGATTGATTAATTTGTTTTTGGTGGTAGTACTGGCTGGGGCTTGAACTCAGGGCCTGAGCTTTTTTTTTTTTGCCCAAGGTTAGTGCTTTACCACTTGAGCCACAGCTCCACTTCTGCCTTTTTGGTGGTTCATTGGAAATAAGATTCTTCTGGTCTTTCTTGGCCTGGTTTGGTTTTGAATCATGATCCTCAGATCTCAGGTTCCCAAGTAGCTGTGATTATAGACGTGAACCACTACACCTGTCCTGAGTAGGATTTAAATCCTGTTCTGTTTGGCCTGTGACCCAAAGTCAGATGGATAATGTGAGCTCCGTTCTTGGGACCGGAAGTGGCCCTCTTGCAGTCATCTGCAGTTGTCCCTCCCAATGATTTCACAGCTTCAACATCCCTCGTGCGAAGAGAGAGCTGGCCCAGCTGAACAAATGCACCTCCCCACAGCAGAAGCTGCTCTGCCTGAGGAAGGTGATACAGCTCATCACCCAGTCTCCCAGCCACAGAGGTGCATGCCTGGGGAAGGGGCCGGCAGGGGTGGGGAGGGGGAGCGCCCACACCCCTACCTGATGGCGTGCTGCCCTAAGCGTCTTGGAGGGCTAGACTAGGCTCAGTCTGTGGAAATACAGACCAAGAAGCAGCAGTGTTCACCTGTTTGCTTGAAAAACAATTTTGGGTGTGTGTGTGCCAAACCTGAATTTGAACTCAGGGCCTCACAGTCTTGCTTAGCTAGTTTACTTAAGGCTGGTAGGCTGCCACTTGAGCCAAACTTCCAATTCCAGTTTTTTGACTCTTTGAATGGAGATAAGAATCTCATGGATTTTCCTGCCCAGGCTGGTTTTGAACCATAATCCTCACATATCAGCCTCTTGATTATAGGTCTGAGCCAACAATACCTAGCAGTGCTATGTGTTTTGTGTGTGTGTATATTTGTGCGCACGCGTGCCAGGCCTAAGACTTGAACTCAGGGCCTGTCACTAACCCTAAGCTGCTGCTTCTTTGTTTGTGGGTTTTTGTTTTTGTTTTTTTTTTTTTTGCTCAAGGCTAGTGAGTCCCCTACTGCTTGAGCTGTACCTCCACTTCTGGCTGTTTGGCTGTTTTAGTGAAGACAAGAGTCTCACAGACTTTCTTGCCCAAGCTGGCTGTGACTGGATCCTCAGATCTCAGCCTTTTGAGGAGTTAGGATTAAAAGCGTGAGCTACCAAGCCCAGCTAGTGCTGTGTATTTTATCCCTTTGAATCTGACAGGTGATTTAGACACCTGAAAGGAAACTGTGATGAAATCCCTCCCGATGTCCAAGCTCTCTGGAGCCTGGTTTTGTGACCATTCATAAACATTCTCCTGTTTCAGGCACATGCTGGCTTTGAACTGTGTTTTCTCCCCTTGTAGTTAACTTGGAGACCATGTGTGCCGATGATCTTCTATCAGTCCTGTTGTATTTGCTTGTGAAGACAGAAATCCCTAATTGGTAACTTTTCTTTTTTGTTGCAATATTTTTTGTGTGTGTGCATGTGTATGTGCCAGTCCTGGGGCTTGAACTCAGGGTCTGGGTTCTGTCCCTGACCTGCTCTTTGCTCATAACTAGTGCTCTATCACTTGAGCCATAAATAGCTTCACTTCTGGCTTTTTGGTGGTTCATGGTGGTTCCTGCCCAGGATGGATTTGAACTATGGTCTTCTAGATCTTAGCTTCCTGAGTAGCTGGAATCCCAGATGCAAGCCACAGGCCCTAGCTGCATCATGTTTTGAGGCAGTAAAACTGTTTGCTTGTTTTTTGTCAGGATGGCAAATTTGAGTTATATGAAAAGCTTCCGATTCTGCAGCTCAGCGAAAGATGAATTGGGATACTGCCTGACCTCCATTGAGGCTGCAATCCAGTATATCCGCCAAGGGAGCCTGTCTGCAAAGCCACCTGTAAGCTCTCCCACCCCACTGTGCTTTGGGGGTGTCCTAGCATCATTAGTGGGACTCTGGGGTTGGCTATAGGTGAGAGCATTCTTACATTCATACTACATTCATACATCATTCCCTTCCTTTGCCCCAAGAAAGAGATCTCAGAACCTGGGTACTGTCCCTGAGCTTTTTCACTCAAGGCTGGTACGCTACAAGAGCCACAGCTGCACTTCTGTTTGCAGGCTCATTGACGATAAGAGTCCCACAGAAGCCCAGCGCTTTTGGCTCATACCTGTAATCCTAGCTACTCAGGAGGCTGAGATCTGAGGATCACGGTTCAAAGCCAGCCCAGGCAGGAAAGTCCATGAGACAAGAAAACCAGAATTGCCTCTGTGGCTTAAGTGGTAGCATGCTTACCTTGAGCTGAAGATCTCAGCCTCCTGAGTAACTAGGATGACAAGTGTGAGCCACCAGTGCCCAGCCAGGAATTTGAAGTGTCTTCCTAGACTTTGGTCTCTATTTGATACCTGATTTTGTAATTTTAATTTTTTGTCAGTTGTGGGGCTTGAACTCAGGGCCTGGGTAGTGTCCCTTAGCATTTTCCATTCAAGGCTGGCGCTCTACCACATGAGCCACAGTTCCACCTCTGGTGCCTGATCTTTTCACAGGTCTGGTCCATGTCCTCCCACTGATCACTGGGATGCAGAATCCAGCCTATCAGATGGCTTCCTGACTATAACAGAACCCTTGGTTGGCACAACATAGGGAGGACCGTGTAGGCACTAGCGTAGACCAGGACAGAGGTGTACAGAGGGCCTGCAGGGTCCAGATGTCCATCTGGAGGCTGATGGCGTGGGGATGGGACATTCCACATTTGGAAGTGACACATTCCACACCCATGAAGCCACTGCCCTGAGATTGATTGGTCCCTGGAGGCAGCAGCTCTCTATGGCCCCACCTCCACCCACCCAAGGAGAATCTGCTGTGTTCTTTCGGTGTGCGGACCAGGGATGGTGAGAGGGCCCTTCTGCTCCTGTCCTGCCCTGAGCTACATGACTGGGGTTTTACCTGGGCCTGGACAGCGGTACTGATAGCTCAGTTGGTCTGTGATCACAGGTTGTTTGTGTTTCCTGTAGGAGTCTGAAGGATTGGGGGACAGACTGTTCCTTAAGCAGAAAATGAACTTCTTGTCACAGATGGCTTCCACTCCTACTGACTGCCTGTTTAAGGTAAGGTCCCGGGGCTTTTTCATGGGCAAATGGCCCAGCTTTCAGTGTCCAAAAAAAAAAAACAGGCACTAGTGGCTCATGCCTGTATCCAAACTACCAAGGAATCTGAGACCTGAGGATCTTGGTTCCAAGCCAGCTCGGGCGGGAAAATCCATGTAATGCTTATCTCCAGTGAACCAGCAAAAAAGCTGGAAGTGGAACCTTGAGCAAAACTCAGGGACAGCACCCAGATCCTGAATTCAAGCCCCAGGACTGGCACACATTTAAAAAAACAATCCAGAAAGAGAAGCTAAAAATCTGGGAAGTGTAGCCGGGCGCCAGTGGCTCACACCTGTAATCCTAGCTACTCAGGAGACTGAGATCTGAGGATTGCGGTTCAAAGCCAGCCCGGGCAGGAAAGTCCATGAGACTCTTATCTCTAATAAACCACTAGAAAACCGGAAATGGCAGTGTGGCTCAAGTGGTAGAGTGCTTGCCTTGTGCTGAAGAGCTCAGGGATAGCGCCCACCCAGAGTTCAAGCCCCACAACTGACCAAAAAACCCTGCAAAGTAGAGCTGTGGCTCACATGGTAGAGCACCAGCCTTAAGTGGAAAAACGAAGGGATGGCACCCAGGCCCCACTGCCAGTGTGTGCAAGCGTGCACATGCACACTAAGTCTACAAATGGTTGGTGGTTTTGGAGAAGAATGACAGCATTTGGGATGTGGCTTTTCAGCACATTGCATCCGGTAACCAGAAGGAAGTGGAAAAGCTTCTGAGCCAACAGGACTGTGACAGGGATGTCATTCAGAAAATGTGCCACCCGCTGTGTTTCTGTGATGACTGCGAGAAACTTGTGTCTGGGTAAGAGGGTGCTGGGAGCTGGCACCATGCCCCATGCCTGTAATCCCAGCTACTCAAGGAGCCTGAGATCTGTGCATCCAAGCTTGGGCAGGAATGTCCAGGAGACTTCTCTCTAATTAAACCAGCCAAAAAACCAGAAGTAGAACTGTGGTTCAAGTGGTAGAGCTCCAGCCTTGAGCAGAAAAAATTCAGGTACAGCACTCAGGCCCTGCGTTCAAGCCCCAGGACTGGCACCAAAAAGAACAGAGGAGAGAAGGCAATCACACATGGGGGTTTGGTGGAACTTTCCATTGGTGTTCCATGCCCTGGGGATGGAGGCTTTATTCTTTATTCTTACCTCCTCTTGCCTGCCTCCACCAGCATCTGCAATCGGCTGTGTCTGTCTGTTCAGGGAAGCAGGCTGCTGTAGGGCTTGCCCAGCCTGGGGAAACCGGCTTCAGGATGGGAGGTTTCAAGGTTCTCCCCGTCACGCATGTGGCATCGAATGTTTGGTTTATGTAATGGTCCCAGACCCCAGCTAGACGGTCATGGCCGAGGGAGAGCCTCGCCCTATCTCCCCTAGGGTTCATTGCTGTGTCTTCTGTCTCTGATTACAGCAGGATGAACGATCCCTCAGTTGTCACTCCATTCTCCAGAGATGACAGTGGCTACACGCCTCTCCACATGGCTGCTCTGTGCGGTAGGTGGCCGTGGCTGGTTCCCGTGGGTTCTGGAACCCTGGGACCCCAGGGAAGCCCAGCTGACGGCGATGCAGCAGGTGCTGTGTCCTGGATCTACTCCTTGGGCCGGGAAAGGGCAGAGTAGCAAATGGCCCCAGGCCTTGCTGGCTACTGCACCCCCTCCTGGCCCAGAGGACTCTGTTTATGGTTCTCCCTACATGGAGCCTGCACCTCATGAGCTGGAGTCTCAGCTCATTGAGAATGATAAGTTGGTTGTTGCAGCTCTCCTTTAGAAAATCTTTTGGAGTCAGGGGCCATAATGGTGTTTACTTGTAATCCCAGCTATTTGGGATCCTGAGGCAGGAAGGAGACAAGTTCAAGGTCAGCTTGGGCAGCGTAGCAAAACTACATCAATAAATGAATTTTTTAGTGTGTGTGTGTGTGTGTCTGTGTGTATACATGTTGATCCTGGGGTTTGAACTCAGGGCCTGGGTGCTGTCCCTGAGCTTTTGTGCTCAAGGCTGGCACTTTACCATTTGTGCTCCATTTCTGGCTCTTTGCTGATTAATTGGAGATAAGAGTCTCATGGACTTTCTTGATCCTGGCTGCCTTAGAACCACGATCCTCAGATCTCAGGATGACAGGCATGAGCCACCAGTGCCCAGCTAGACTTTTAAGGGAGAAAAGTACAAGGTTGGGATGTAGCACAGTGGCAGGCCCCTTACCCAGCACATGTGACGAACAGAACAAAACATCCCAACACTGCCTGCATAGCAGGGGTTTCAAGTGTGAACCACTGGTGCCTTTCTTAGCTCCGGCTCTTACCTAGCAGTTGTCATGCCTGGCCCAAGAGGGTGAGCATGTGTGTGGGTTTGTTTTCTCTGGGCAGCCCCTCTCTTCCCTTCCCCAGCCTGATGTCCCTCTGTTATACAGGACAGGCGTCACTCGTTGACCTGCTGGTGTCCAAGGGCGCGGCAGTGAATGCCACAGACTACCATGGTGCTACCCCGCTGCACCTGGCATGTCAGAAGGGCTATCAAAGCGTGACGGTGAGTGGTAGGGGTGGCACGGTGCCCACAGGAGCTCAGATCTGTAAGGCGACATGATGGTCTGGCAGTGTATACTGTGCTGCCTGCTCCCAGAGCCACACTTCTCTGAGCCACACAGGCCTTGTCCTCGCAGGGCAGTGGGGAGCCTGCCTGGCCTCACTAGACCACAGCCCTGGGTTGACTGGGGAAACGTCTGATCATTTGGCAGAGGGAAGGGCAGGGCTCTAGATGCTTGCCTTCCGTGTCTCTAAACTCTGGTGGAAGGGTGAGAGGGGGCATAATTTTAATAATAGCACAGGCTGAGCAATGCCATCTGCCAAACACTTGGGGGGCGGGGGATGTTTTGGATTTCAGATCCTTTGGAAATTTTGGAATTTACATGTGCATAATGATGTCTGTTGGGGATAGGATCCAATTCCAAACCCAAAATTCACTTATGTTTCTGATACATAGAAGGTAGCTTTATACAATACTAATAATAGTAATAAAATATATATAGTAGGTATCATATAGTAATATAAAAATATATAATAGAGAAATGTTTTATAGGTTAACATAATGTATAAGTATACAACATATGTTATAATACACTTATATGTAGTGTATAATACAATAGTGCTATATTAATAATTATATATATATGTTCATATATAAATTTATAAATATATTTTAATATACTACATAAATATATCGCTGTTATATAAATGTTATATGCATATGTAACATAATATATAAAATAATAATTATTAGGTTTTCCTGTAATGGGGCTTGAGCTCAGGGTCAGGGCTTGTGCCCTTAGCTGGGGTTCAGCTGATGTCTTTTGTCCCCCAAAGCTCCTGTTGCTTCACTACAAGGCCAGTACCGACATCCAGGACAACAACGGCCACACCCCACTCCACCTGGCCTGCACCCACGGCCATGAGGACGTACGTCATTTCCTATCTACTGTCACTCAGCATTTCCTTTGAGAAATGCCAGTCACGGGGCTTGAACTCGGGGCCTGGACTCTGTCCCTTGGATTTTTCACTCAAGTCTTGTGCTCTACCACTTGAGCCATACCTCCACTGCAGGTGGATCTCAGGCTCCCGAGCACCTGCGATTACAGGTGTGCGCCACCATGCACCCAGCCATTTTGTCCCATTGCTTTGCAGTGTGTGAAGGCGCTGGTATACTATGACGCGCAGTCGTGCCGACTGGACATCAGCAACGAGAAAGGAGACACACCTCTCCACATAGCTGCGCGTTGGGGTTACCAAGGCATCATCGAGACGCTCCTGCAGAATGGGGCTCCCACGGATGTCCAGAACAGAATGAAAGAAACACCACTGCAGTGTGCATTAAACGCAAAGGTAGCCCGCCATGGAACAACTAAAAAACAACCAAAAAATAACCCAGGGTCAGGGTGATAGAGCGGCCTCACTGGGCACACAGCCCTAGGCCAACAGAGGGGTTACAATCACATGGCCTGCCTCTCTCTGCTTCATTTAGGGCCTCACTATTCCTGGGTTTTACTTAATGGCTTTCAATATGACTAGCTTTATTTTATTTATTTGTCAGTCGTGGGGTCTGAACTCTGGGCCTGGGTGCTGTCCCTTAGATTTTTAGCTCAAGGCTAGCGCTCAACCACCTGAGCTACAACACCATTTCTGGCTTTTTTTCTGCTTATGTGGTGCTGAGGAATCAAACCGAGGGCCTCATGCATGCAAGGCAAGCGCTCTACCACTGAGCCACCTTCCCAGCCCCTAGCTTTATTTGTTTTTTTTTTTTTTTTTTTTTTTTTTGGGTCCGGTCGTGGGGCCTGAACTCTGGGCCTGGGCGCTGTCCCTCAGCTCTTCAGCTCAAGGCTAGGGCTCTACCACTTGAGCCACAGCGCCACTTCTGGCTTTCTTTTCTTTTTGCTTATGTGGTGCTGAGGAATCGAACCCAGGGCCTCATGCATGCAAGGCAAGCGCTCTACCACTGAGCCACCTTCCCAGACCCCCTAGCTTTATTTTAATACGTATTCAAATTTTGTATCATCATGGGGACTTCAACTCAGACCCTAGGCTCTTGTCTCTTTTGCTAGCTCAGCTACATTTGACTTTGGCTTTTTGGTAGTTCATTGGAGATAAGAATCAAGTTTTAGCTGGGCGCCAGTGGCTCCAGCCTGTTATCCAAGCTACTCAGGAGCCTGAGACCTGAGGATCACAGTTCGAAACCAGCATGGACAGGAAAGTCTATGAGACTCTTTATCTCCAATGAACCAGCAAAAAGCTGTAAGTGGAGTTGTGGCTCTAGTGATAGAGCAAGAAAGCCTTGAGCAAGAAAGCTCAGGGACAGCACCCAGGCCCTGAGTTCAAGCCCCAGGACCAGCATACACACATACAAAAAAGAATCCGAATTTTCTGCCTGAGCTGGCTTTGAACCATGATCCTCAGTGCTCAGTCACCTGAGTAGCTAGGATGACAGGCATCCTACACCAGTGCCCGGAATGATGGAGTCTTTGAGATCTTCTAGGGAAAATGGACTCTGCGTTGGACAGGAAATCCATGGCAGTGGAGGAGCCAGGTTTTTGTTTTTGTTTTTTTAAATAAGTTTTTTGTTGTGAAAATACTGTACAGAGGGGTTACAATCACATGAACAAGGTAATGAGTACATTTCTCATCAAGCATTGTTGCCTCCTCCTTTGTTTTTCCCCTCCCATCCTTTCCCTTCCATCCCCCCACCCACACCCCCATGCCTAACTTGTAAAGTTCGTTTTTCGACATAGCATCTTGTACATCTCATTGCTCATTGTTGCAGTGGATCAATCTGTATCCCTATTTAAACATTTTGTTTTTTTCCCTTCCCCTCACAAATTATACCAACATCAAATACAGTGAAAACAGGGGTTATGCCGTGGGGGAGGGACATACAAAGCAACACAAAAATCACGTAGTACCTTATAAATACGTTAGAAACAATAGCAAGAAAGAAAAAACTACTTGTGTCTTTATCTTGGGGTTCATTTCGCTTAACATCATCTTATCTGACCTTTTCTGCTTGTCTCAGGCATATACTAGTTATTGCAAATAAGGGAAACCATGGGACCTATGTTTCTTTGGGCCTGGCTTACTTCACTTAATATAATTTTTTCCAAATCTTTCCATTTCCTAACAAATGGGGCGATGTCATTCTTTCTGATGGAGGCATAGAATTCCACTGTGTATATGTACAACATTTTTTTGATCCATTCATCTACTGAGGGGCATCTGGGTTGGTTCCATATTTTAGCTATGGTAAATAATGTTGCAATAATGCTGGTAGCTTTAGTGTGGTCTTGTTTGTGATCATTTGGGTAAATGCCCCAAAGTGGGATTGCTGGGTCATAGGGGAGCTCTATGTGGAGTCTTTTGAGGAACCTCCATCCTGCTTTCCAAAGTGGTTGAACAAGTTTACACTCCCACCAACAATGCAGTAAGGTTTCCTTCTGTACACATCCCTTCCAGCGTCTGTTGTTATTAGAGTTCTTGATTATAGCCATTCTAACTGGGGTGAGGTGGAATCTCAATGTTGTTTTGATTTGCATTTCTTTTATGGCTAGAGGAGTTGAGCATTTCTTCATTCTTATTGAGGAGCCAGGTTTATCTGCTGTGTACCCCAGTAACTTCCCACTCACTCTGGCTCTTGGTTTTTGGTATGAGGGCCTCAGGACGCTGGCTGTGCTGTTTTCTGTAGGGCAGGCAGTCAGTGGGGCCTCTGCTTAATGCTCTCCCTACCTCTTTGTCCTCCAGATTCTGTCTGTAATGCAAGCCCACCAGCTGCCCTCAGACAGGAGGCCCACACTTGGTGAGGTAAGTCCTTCAAGCCGGGCTGCTTGCTGACAGTGGTGTCTTTGGCCTCTTCTTATGGCCTCACAGGTTGTTGAGCCCTTTGTCTCCTTTTTTTCTTTTCTTTCTTTCTTTTCTTTTCTTTTTTTTAATCAGTCGTAGCTGGGCACTGGCGGCTCATGCCTGTAATCCTAGCTACTCAAGAGGCTGAGATCTGAGGATCGCGGTTCAAAGCCAACCCTGGGCAGGAAATGTCCATGAGACTCGTATCTCCAATGAACTATAGAAAATCGGAAGTGGCACTATGGCTCAAGCGGTAGAGTGCTAGCCTTGAGCTGAAGAGCTGAGGAACAGTGCCCAGGCCCAGAGTTCAAGCCCCACGACCAACAAAAAAAAAAAAAATCAGTCGAGGGGCTTGAACTCAGGGTCTGAGCTGTCCCTGAGCTTTTGTGCCAAGGCTAGTGCTCTACCACTTAGAGCCACAGCGCTACTTCTAGTTTTCTGATGGTTCATTGGAGATTCGAGTCTCAAGGACTTTCCTGCCCAGGCTGTGCTGCTCAGATCTCAGCTTTCTGAGTAGCTAGGATGGCACGAGCCACCAGCACCTGGGTTTTTGTGGGGGTTTTTTTGGTCCAAGATTGGGACTCAACCTCTGTACCTGAGGCTTTTACTCATTGGCTAGAACTCTACCAACTTTGGAGCCATGCCTCCAACCCCAGCTCCACGTGTCTTGTTCCTCCTAGGTCCCTTCCCAGTCCCCTCAGCGCTCCATGGACTCCGTCAGCCAGGACTCATCCACCTCCAGCTTCTCCTCAGCATTGGTGAGCTCTCGGCAAGAAGAGGCCAAGAAGGACTTCAGAGAGGTGAGTCTCGGGTGGGAGATGGTGAAGAGGATTCTGGGATCCTAGTATCATGGTGGCTGGCTAAAGAACTGTAGCCTGGCTAGGTGCTAAGAGCTCATGTCTGTAATCACAGCCACTCAGGAGACTGAGATTTGAGGATCACTGGTTCAAAACCAGCCTGGGCCCTCCCCCACTGTATAACCCCTGCTTTCACTGTATTTGATGTTGTTATAATTTGTGGAGGGGAAGGGAAAAAACAAATCGTTTAACTAGGGATACAGGTGGATCCATTGCAACAATGAGACGTACAAGTCGTTATGTGGAAAACGAACTTTACAACTTTGGTGGGGGGGAGGGGGAGCATGAGATGGGAAGGGGAAACAAAGGAGGAGACAACAATGCTTGATAAGAAATGTACTCATTATCTTGCCCATGTAATTGTAACCCCTCTGTACAGTATTTTCACAATAAAAAAAAAAAAAAAACAGCCTGGGCATGAAAGTTTGTGACACTCTTTTATCTCCAATGAACCACCAACAAGCTGGAAGTGGAGGTGTGGTTCAAGTGGTAAAGTGCTAGTGTTGAGTGAAAAAGCCAAATGAGAGCATGAGGTCCGGAGTTCAAGTCCTAGTACTGGCTCCAAACAAAAGCAAAAAATAAACTCACCCATCAAAGTGTACAGATAGAGGCTGTTAAGATTTCAGAAGATTTATGTTACTTCTGGTTTTTTAGTTTATATTAAAATCTTTCCCTGACATTCTTTTTTCCTTTTATTAAGGTAGAAAAACTATTAAGAGCTGTTGCAGACGGAGATCTAGAAATGGTGAGTTTTTGGACATGTAATGCCTAAAGCTTGCTCTCGGCTCTGGGATGTAAAACATTTACATCCCAGGGTCTTCCCTGCTCAGGCTCAAGTGGTGTGGACTCTTTGCTCAACTCTATCTAGAGGGTACTGTTAATATATTTGGTAAGCCAAATATCATGGATTACTACCTGTGGTTTTCACCAAATGTGGTCAGCATTATAAGCACATTTTAAAAAGCCAAAAGAAGCCAGCTGCCAATGGCTCACACCTGTAATCCTAGCTACACAGGAGGCTGAGATCTGGAGGATCATGGTTTTAAAGCCAGTGTGGGCAGGAACGTCCATGAGACTCTTTTTTTCCAATTAACTACCAAAAAGCAGGAAGTGAAATTGTGTGGCTCAAATGGTAGAGATTACAGGTGTGAGCTACAAGTGCATGGCTTCTTTCCACTTTGTGTGTGTGTGTCTGTGCACACCTTCTTACACTTGAGCAACAGCGCCACTTGTGGCTTCTTTGGGTAGTTTACTGGAAATAAGAGTCTCATGGACTTTACTGCCCTGGTTGGCTTTGTACCACAATCCTCAGATCTTAGCCTCCTGAGTAAATGGGATGACAGGTGTGAGCCACTGGTACCTGGCCACCTGTTGCTTTTTTGAGAAAGAGGAAGAGAGTTCGTGTGAGCTGTGATGATGGTAGGTTGGTCCCTGTGTTTCCATTGAAAAAACATAGAAAAGCTCAAACATGAGGAACCCTGGAGTCTTCTCTGGGAAGCCATGTCTTAATGTCTTTGGTGGCTCAACAGTGAGGTGTAGGTCAATTTGCAGCAGTTTTGTGTGTATGCATATGTGTGCGCACATATGTGTGTGTGTGCGCACATGAGTGTGCATGTGTGCATGCATGTGTCACTCAGGATAGCCTTTAGTCCCTGTCTCCTTACTGCCCACCACCAGGTGCGCTACCTTCTGGAGTGGACAGAGGAGGACCTGGATGAAGCCGATGATGCTGTTGGTGTGGCAGGTGTGGAATTCTGCCACCCCTTGTGCCAGTGCCCAAAGTGTGCTCCGGCTCAGAAGGTTTGCTCTTGTTCTGTCCTTAGGGGGAGGGGGAAGTATGCCTCACCTCTGCCTCTCAGCCAGTGATGACGGAGTGTCGGTGAATAAATGGCCCCCAGTGCTGGTGTCTCCGTAGCAGAGGATGGAAGGCTGCAGACACGGTGCAGGGTGGGGTTTGGGCTGGCTGCCTGCCACGTGGCACCGAGTGGGCAGGGTGAGCCCACGCAGTTCAAGTAGACTCGAGGGAGAGACCCTTGTCAGCCTGGTTCAATATCCACGGTGGGTCACACCTGTAATCCCAGCTACTTTGGAGGCAGAATTAGGAGGATTGTGGTTCAAGTCTAGTAGCCTGGGAAAAAATGTCATCGTAATTACAGGTCTCACAGGGCATGTCCCAATCAATTGGGTCCTTCCTAAGTTTTGTTTTTGTTTTGTTTTTAATGTGCATGTACTGGGGCTTGAACTCAGGGCATCACACTCTTGCTTAGCTTTTATCTTTTTTCTTTCTTCTTTTTTTTTTTCCAGACCTGAAGTTTGCACTCAGACACTGGGATCTATCCCCGAGCATCTCTGTGCTCAAAGCTAGCACTCTACTACTTGAGCCCCAGAACCACTTCCCATTTCTGTTTTTGTGGTACTGAGGAAGTCGAACCCAGGGCTTCATGCATGCTAGGCAAGCATTCTACTACTAAGCCACATTCCAGCCCCTAGCTTATTCTACTCAAGGCTGATGTAAAGTTTACCATTTGAACCACAACTTAGGGCTTTTTTCTGGTTCATTAGAGATAAGGGTGTCACAGACTTTCCTGCCTAGGCTAGCTTTGAACCACAATCCTCAGATCTTGGCCTTTCTGAGTAGGTTTGATTACAGGTAGGAGCAACGGTGCTACCCTTACCTTTTGTGTTGGGAGTGAGATGAGGTGTTTCAGTTTCTTCCTGGGGCTAGCCACAGACTTTCACTATTGAGTTGCCTGTCACTGGAGGGTGGGGTGGGGCTCATTTTCAGGAGATTGCTTTATTAAACACAGAAGTTAAAGCCTGGTGCTGGGGACTGGGAATGTGGCTTAGTGGAAGAGTGCTTGCTTAGCATGCATGAAGCCCTCTGTTCAATTCCTCAGTACCACATAAACAGAAAAAGCTGGGTGTGGCTCTGTGGCTCAAGTGGCAGAGTGCTAGCCTTGAGCAAAAGCAGCTCAGGGACAGTGCCCAGGCCCTGAATTCAAGCCTCAGGACTGGCAAAAACAAAACAAAACAAAAAACAAACCTGGTTCTGGTGAGTCACAACTATAATCCTACCTACTTAGGAGGCTTAGATCTGAAGATCACAGTTCAAAGCCAGCTTGGGCAGGAAAGTCTGTGAGACTCTTATCCCCAGTGAACCAGCAAAAAAGCTGGAAGTGGAGCTGTGGCTCAGGCGGTACAGCACCAGCCATGAGCAAAAGAGCTCATAGACAGTGGCCAGGCCCTGAGTTCAAGCCTAAGACTGGCACCAAAAAACCAACCAAACCAAAAAAAAATCCCAACAAAACGCTGAAAAAGAGAAATGAATCTGTTATGCAAGGCTGAAAGAGTAGGGGATCCACCAGGGCAGTGGGATGGAATTCTGGACCCCAGGGCACAAGGCATCCATTTTCAGGTGGGTTTCTGGAACCCTTACAACTCTTCTCTCCATCATGTGCCTTTGCTAGAAGCTGGCCAAGGTTCCTGCCAGTGGGCTGGGGGTGAACGTGACCAATCAAGACGGTGCCTCCCCCCTGCATGTGGCTGCCCTTCATGGCCGGGCCGACCTCGTTCTCCTCCTGTTGAAGCATGGCGCCAGCCCAAGTGCTAGAGACAAGGCGCAAGCCACACCCCTCCACCTGGCCTGCCGGAAGGGCCACTTTGAGGTATGGCTTCTGGCACCTTTGAGGTATGGCTTCTGGCCCCTTCATGGACCGCAGGGGCTGGCTAGACCCTCACCCGGTGACAGTGGACAGAGAAAAGCCAGGGCTTGGCCAGAGGACCGGCTTGCTTCCTTCTCCTACCCTAAGATCCTGAGATGCAGACCCTAGAACACACAACTCTGGTCCCAGGGCATGGAGAAACTCCCTTCCACTCTCTATCAACCTGAGTGGCCCAAAGCCATGAGTTCCAATTTTGAACCCAGTAAGAGCTGGCTCTGGTGGCCAGATATTGGACTTACCACCACCCTTGGCCTGTGCCAAATGGCGTAAGATTTTCTCAAATGTGTATTATGCAGAGGAGTCCTGGGGGAAGTTTGGATCCATTCAAAGAAAGGCTGAGCCTTTCTTTTTTAGGAATTTTATTTTTCCTTTTTTGTTCCAGTCTTGAGGCTTGAACTCAGAGCCTAGGTTCTATCCATGAGCTTTTGTGCTCCAGGCTGGCATTTTACCACTTGAGCCACAGCTCCACTTCTGGGTTTTTCCTGATTGATTGGACATAAGAGTCCTACTTTCCTGCTTGGGCTGGCTTTGAACTACGAGGCTCAGATCCCAGCCTCTTGAGTAACTGGGATTACAGGCGTGAGCTACCAGCATCCAGGTAGAGGATTTTCATGAAAGCTGAAATGCTTCTCTGGAGTAGGTGGTGAAATGTCTGCTGGACTCAAATGTGAAGCCTGATAAAAAGGACCTGAGCGGGAACACACCCCTGATTTGTGCCTGTGCTGAGGGCCATCACGAAGTTGCAGCACTACTGTTACAGGTAAGGGCATAAGCCACTAGGCCATTTTCCCTGTGTTTGGAGCAGCCCACCCACCACTCACCTGTTAGGGGCTTGCACCTGCTGCGGTCATGTGAGGATCTGTGTTAGCATGGGCCAGCACCTCTGTGTCCATGCTGATTCTGGAGGCAGCCTCAGGACGGGGCTGGGCTTTGCTTGAAGGCTCAGGCCCTGCCTCACCTAGCAGGATGAGTGGAGTTGTTAGCTAACGTGTCCCTCTATGTCACTGCACCTCTTCCCACAAGGTTATATAAGTTGATGGCAGAAGGTAGAAGAAAAAAGGAAAAATCCGATTCATCTGTTAAGGAACCTGGTTGGGTGGACTTTAAAAAAAAAAAAAAAGTGTATACTCTGGAGTGTTGAGATGTGAGGATAAGGGTTCAAAGCCAGCCAGGCAGGAAAAGTCTGTGAGACTCTTAACTTCAATGGACCACCAAAAATGGGAAGTAGAGCTGTGGATCAAATGGCAGAGTGACTAACCTTAATCAAAAAAAGCTAAGAGAGGGGCTGGGAAGGTGGCTCAGTGGTAGAGTGCTTGCCTTGCATGCATAAGGCCCTGGGTTTGATTCTTCAGCACCACATAAGCAGAAAAAGCTGGAAGTGGTGCTGTGGCTTAAGTGGTAGAGCACTAGCCTTCAGCTGAAGAGCTGAGGGACAGTGCCCAGGCCCAGAGTTCAGGCCCCATGACTGGCAAAAAAAGAGAGAGAGAGAGAGAGAGAGAGAGAGGGCTGGGAAGGTGGCTCAGTGGTAGAGTGCTTGCCTTGCATGCACGAGGCCCTGGGTTCAATTCCTCAGCACCACGTAAGTGGTAGAGCGCTAGCCTTGAGCTGAAGAGCTGAGGAACAGCGCCCAGGCCCAGAGTTCAGGCCCACAACCCCCCCTAAAAAGGAACAATATGTGTATAGACTCGTGTGTATGTATAGACTAGTGTAGTGGCACGCAGCTGTAATGCCTGCATCTAGGAGGATGAGGCAGGAGGATTAGGCCCCCAGAGAGCGACCTTGTCTCAAAAGGGAACATGAATAGTTGCAGATTGCTATTGTTTTGTTTCGTTCAACACTTAAAAAACTGATGATGCTGGGTGCTGGTAGCACACATGTGCCATCCAAGCTACCCAGGGCTAAGATCTGGGGATGGAGGGTCAAAGCAATGAAGCACCTAAAGCCTAGAAGTAGAGCTGTGGCTCAGAGTGGTAGAGCACCAGCCTGGAGTCAAAGAAGCTCAGGCAGCGCCCAGCCCACAATTGACAACAACAAAAAAAAGATTAATTTTAGATTCCCACTGTTTTGTTTCATTTAACATAAAAAAAAAAAAAAACTGATGAAAATCTTGATTTTTGGACTGGGGTTTAACTCAGGTAGAAGAACATTTGTATAGCATACAGGAAGTCCTGAATTTAAGCAACAATACCCCAAATAAAAAACAGTGGTCAAGTATGGCGGAAGCCATGTTTTGGTCCATTAGTAACTACATGAGTGGATGGCTTCTGGTCTTCCCATTGCAGTGACAAATGCTCAAGGCCAGTCTTAGTCCTTTAACTCAGGGCCTGAGCACTGTCCCTGAGCTTCTTTTGCTCAAGGTTAGCACTCTACCACTTGAGAGCCACAGTGCCTCTTCTAGCTTTTTCTGGGTATGCGGTACTGAAGAATCAAACCCAGGGCTTCATGCATGCTAGGCAAGCACTCTACCACTAAACCTGGGAAGAATCTTCTAGTAAATTCTTCCCAACCTGGGAAGAATCTTATAGTAAACATCAAAGTACTACCACCTCGCTTGTGCAGTTCTTTTGGTGCTGGTCCTGGGGCTTGAACTCAGGGCCTAGGTGTTGTCTCTGAGCTTTTGTGCTCAGGGCTAGCACTTGACCACTCGAGCCACAGCTCCACTTCTGGCTTTTATTAATTTTTTTTGGTCATGGGGTTTGAACTCTGGGCCTGGGCGCTGTCCCTCAGCTCTTCAGCTAAAGGCGAGCGCTCTACTACTTAAGCCACAACACCACTTCTGGTTTTCTGGTGGTTTTATTGGAGATGAGTTTCACAAACTTTTTCTGCCCAGGCTGGCTTTGAACTGTGATTATCAGATCTCAGCCTCCTGAGTAGCTAGGATTACAGGTGTGAGCCACCGACACCCAGCAACTTCTGGCTTTTTTTTTGGTGGTTCACTGGGGATAAGAGTCTCATGGACTTTCCTACCTGGGTGGGCTTGGAGCCACAATCCTCAGATCTCAGCCTCCTGAGTATCTAGGATGACAGGTATAAACCAGAGTGCCTGGCCTTTGTGCAGGAATTCTTCACCATCCCTTTCTGGTGTTCTGTTTTCCAGCATGGGGCCTCTATGAATGCTTCAAACAGTAAGGGCAACACGGCCCTGCACGAGGCAGTGATAGGAAACCATGTGTTCGTGGTGGAGCTGCTTCTGCTCCACGGAGCATCGGTTCATATCATGAACAAGAGGCAGCGCACAGCCATAGACTGCGCTGACCAGGTGAGCACGTGGCGTAGGAACTGTGCAACCCCAGTTTGGGACAGCTTGGCCACCGCTGTCTCCCCACATCTCGTCTTCTATGCTGGGCCCAGTTCTTACGCTAGGAACCCACTAGTGTGCTCACAGCTTGCTGTCATGCTTTTCTTCTATTTTTTGTTGGTGCTGGACCTGGGGCTTGAACTCAGGGCCTGGGCACTGTCCCTGAGCTTTTCTGCTCAAGGATAGTGCGCAACCACTTGATCCACAACTTCATTTTCAGCTTTTTCTTTACTGCAAGTCCTGGGGCTTGAACTCAGGGGCTGGGGACTGTCCCTGAGCTTCTTTTGCTCAAGGCTTGCGCTCTACCACTTGAGCCATAGTGTCACTTCTGGCTTTTTTTGTGTGTGTATGTGCTACTGAAGAGTTGAACCTAGGACTTAAAGCATGCTAGGCAAGCACTCTACCACTAAGCCACATTTCCAGCCTTCCAGCTTTTTCTTTGGTGGTTAAGAGTCTCATGGACTTGCTGCTCAAGCTGGCTTTGAACCATGATTCTCAGATCTCACTGGAGTAGCAAGGATTAGAGGTGTGGGCCACTGGCACATGGTGCCCAGCTGGAATGGAATTTTTTTATTGTTCTGGGGCTTGAACTCAGGGCCTGTTACATTTCGTGTGTGTGTGTGTGTGTGTGTGTGTGTGTGTGTGTGTGTGTGTGTGTGTGTGTGTGTGTGTGTGTGTGTGTGTGTGTGTGTGTGTGTGTGTGTGTGTGTGTGTGTGTGTGTGTGGTTAGAGATGTCTCAAGGATTTTCCTGCTGGCGCTGGCTTCAAACCACGATCCTTTGATCTCAGCCTCCTAAGTAGCGTGAGTCATAGGCAAGGTGCTTGGCTGTAGTAGAAACATTTTAAACTTCCAATTTCGTGCTATTTCAAAGGGTGATAGTGGTAATTTTGTCTGAGTGCCATGTGGCAGCTCCCAGGCAGCAATGGGCCCTGTCATTTGCACATAGTGCTTACATACCCAGCCAGTCCCGAGTCCCCAGTGACACACAGCAGAGCCAGGATGCACACTACAGGCTACCAAGCACCACAGCCTCCAAAGTGGCTTAGAGCACGCATAGCCCCGTGGGTTACTGATGTTCACATTCTACCGCTCCCTTTCCCCATGGAACTGCAGAAGTCAAAAATCATGGAGTTACTTCAGGTAGTACCAAGTTGTGTGACCTCCTTAGACGATGTTTCAGAATCAGACGCCGGGGAATACGTGACTGTCAAGATCCGGAAAAAGTGTAAGTGTTCCTGCTTTCTGGAAAGTTCTACCTGCCTTGACTGGGACTCTCGTGGGAGCCCAGGGTTCGTTTACTACTCAAGGCAAACTGCATCGTGGTGTGAGGGAACCACAGAAATGTGAGGATCAGACTCTTCAGGTGGAAGGGTTATTAATAATTTTTTTTTCTGCCTGTTCTGGGGATTGAACTCAGGGCTGAGGTGCTGTCCCTGGGCTTATTTCTTTTTTCAAGTCTGGTGCTCTACTACCTAAGCCATAGCTCTACTTTGAACTTTTTGCTGGTTCATTGGAGATAAGAATCTCATGGATTTTCTTGCTTTGGCTGGCTTCAAACTGTGATCCCCAGCCTCTTTAGTAGCTACGATGACAGGGGTGAGGCTGAAATCTGATACTAGTTTTCTGCTTGACTGTCATGTTGTTTCCTGGAGTTAAGAATAGGCACACATAGCATGAGCCTGAAGGCTCAAGCTCTAATTACTAACCAGACAGGAGGCACAGATCTGTAGTCTCAGCCATCTTCTGTTCCAGCACCAGGATGCACAGGTTAGCCAGGGCCTGGTGAGTGCTAGCGGTTGCCAGACAGCTATGGCACTATATATTCCTTTTTGTGCCAGTCCTGTGCATGAACTCAGGTCCTAGGCGCTCTTAGTTTTTTTTGCTAAGGCTAGCATTCTGGCACTAGAGCCACATTTCTACTTCTTCTTCTTCTTTTTTTTTTTTTTGCCAGTCCTGGGGCTTGAGCTCAGGGCCTGTGCAGTCCTTGAGCTTCTTTTGCTCAGGCTAGCACTCTACTACTTGAGATTCCGGCTTTTTGTCTATGTGGTACCAGGAAGTGAACCCAGGGCTTTATGCATGCTAGGTAAGCACTCTACCACTAAGCCACATTCCCAGCCCCATCACACTTTTGGCTTTTTTGGTGGTTAACTAGACATAAGAGTCTCACAAACTATGGGGCTGGGAAGGTGGCTCAGTGGTAGAGCGCTTGCCTTGTATGCATGAGGCCCTGGGTTCAATTCCCCAGGACCACATAAGCAAAAAGAAAAAAAGCCAGAAGTGGCACTGTGGCTCAAGTGGTAGAGCGCTAGCCTTGAGCTGAAGAGCTGAGGGACAGTGCTCAGGCCCAGAGTTCAGGCCCATGACTGGACCAAAAATAAAAAAACAAACAAAAAAAGAGTCTCACAAACTAGCTGTAATCCTATCTACTCAGGAGACTGAGATCTGAGGATCACGGTTCAAAGCCAGCCTGGGCAGGAAAGTTTGTGAAATTCTTATCTCCAATAAACCACTAGAAAACCGGAAGTGGTGCTGTGGTTCACGTCATTAGAGTGCTCACCTTGAGCTGGAGTACAGGGACAGCACCCGAGTCCAGAGTTCAAGCCCCATGACAACCAAAAAAAAAAAAAAAAAAGAGTCTCACAAACTTTGCCTCCTGGGATGACTTTGAATTGTGGTACTCAGATCTCGGCCTCCTGTGTAGCTAGGATTACAGGTGTGAGTCACCTGTCCCTGGCTATATTCTTTTCTCAAAAGTTTAATGGGGTGTCCTTGTTCCATGGCCTTTTAAAATGTGTGAGCAAATATACAATCTGGATAATTGGGAGGTGACCCCAATAAGACTGGCAAGTTTGAGTGTATGAGGGTTTATTTGTCTCACAGTTCATGTCTTAATAAACAGGTATCTGCTACTAGATTTCCTTAAGCAAAGTTGGTGCTTTATTTTCTCAATTTTGTTACGCTAAGAAATTGGAAAGCTTGCACTTGTAAGACGGTCACTTTGGAATTCTCCAGTGTTTATCCTTTTATCTACAGGGAACTCAACACTGTATGATCTCCCTGATGAGCCTTTTACAAGACAGTTTTACTGCGGGCCCTCGGTTGGTGGATCTGAGTGAGTATGGAATTTAGGTTTAAAGATCTGGGCCTTGGGCTAAGAATGTGACTTAGTGATAGAGTGCTTGCCTAGCATGCACGAAGCCCTGGGTTCGATTCCTCAGTACTACATACACAGAAAAGGCCAGAAGTGGTCCTGTGGCTCAAGTAGTAGAGTGCTAGCTTGAGCAAAAGAAGCTCAGTGACAGTGCTCAGGCCCTGAGTTCAAGCCCCAGGACAGTCTGAGCCTCAAAGCAGTCCTGGGGAATCCGCGGTCAATGCCACCACCTTGTGGTCAACCACAGTACTGCATACTGCTGTTGCAAATACTGGTTTATTTATGGTTAACACTTCATTTCTTTTGAGTTTTAGGAAAAAAACTTCAAAGGAGATTATGGCAAGAGGTAGAAGTGTCCCTAATTTTACTGAGGTGAGTTGTTATATACTGGCTAATAATTCTTTTTTTTTTTTTTGGCCAGTCCAAGCCTTGAACTCAGGGCCTAGATGCTGTCCCCGAGTTGTTTTCTTTCTCTAGGCTAGTGTTCTACCACTTGCCAGCCACAGCTCCACTTCTGACTTTTTGGTGATAAATAGGAGATAAGTGTCTCACAAATTTTCTTGCCCAGGCTGGTTTCAAACTTATCTTCAGATGTTCGCTTCCTCAATACAGGATTACAGGCCTGAGCCACCAGCACTGTGCCACCATCCTAAATTTTAAAGCCTACTTTTTCAGATGAGTTGTTTCCCTTTCTTTTTCTTTCATTGAGAGTTAGCAACAGTTACAACTGCAGTCCTCCACTGGGACAGACAGGAAAGTGAGCTTTCTTAGAGTCACTCAAGCTACATTTCTTGCTAGGCCCTGGTGGCTCACCTCTGTTATCCTAGCTACTCAAGAGACAGATCTGAGGAGTGTGGTTGGAAGCCATCTCAGACAATAAAGTCCATGAAAAGAACTCTTTAAATTTTTTTTCTTTTTTCTTTTTTTTTTGGTCAGTCATGGGGTTGAACTCTGGGCCTGGGCGCTGTCCCTCAGCTCTTCAGCTCAAGGCTAGCACTCTACTACTTGAGCCACAGCACCACTTCTGGCTTTTTCTGTTTATGTGGTGCTATCGAACCTAGGACCTCATGCATGTGAGGTACTCTACCACTGAGCCATTTTCGCAGCCCGAGAAGAACTCTTTATCTCCAGTGAACCCACTATAAACAAAACAAGTGGAGCTGTGGCTCATCTGGTAAGAGTGTCAGCCTTGAACCCAAAAAAATGTCAGCCTTGAGTTCAAGCCCCAGTACTGGTGCTTGTGCACGTTCATACATGGCACGCACACATACACAAAATTTATAATGTGACTCACTTTAAGTTAGATGTGGATTCTGCCTTATGAGGGGTCCTGAGCCCACTGTCTGACCATGGCAGCCACTGTGAAAATGGTGCTTTATGCACAGTGCACCTGGAAACCAAATTATACCTCTCCTTCAGCCAGAGAAGCAAGGAGTCACAGGGAAGCAGAGCCACCCACCAGAGCCACCCAGAGGTGCAGCTGCAGACAGAGGAGACGAGGGGCCTGCGCAGAGTGCTGGGCTGAGGCCAGCTGTTCCGGCGCCTGAGTGTGTTATCCACAGAGACACAGTGAACGACACACCAGACCCGCAGACGCCTGAGACCCTTAGCCAGCCGGCCGCGTCCCCAGAGCCCAGCCTCTCCCCATCTAAGCCATCAGAAGGAACTGACAGGCCTGCTACCAAGGTGTGAGATGAGATGCTGTGGGAGAATGTGGCTTGGAAATTACGATGCTTATAAAGAGACTTGACAGACTTTATGCCCACCATGGGAGAAAATCAAGAGTTTTTCTATGGCTGGGGGCAAGAGGGTGAGCAAGAAAAACAGCCACCATTGAGTGAAGCTAATGTATGACAACCCTGAATCCAGATCCTTCATCCCAGATGTTTCTAAGTAAAACAATTTCCTGGTTAGGGGATAGGTTTTGGTGTCAGACTCTGCCGGCCTTGGTTCCAAAGGCACCCAGCCACCAGGAACAGCAGAAATGGGCAAACCCTGAGAGGAGCTGAAAGACATTGCCTGAGGCTGGGGAAGCCGGGGAAGAATGGTTCCTCAAAAGAAGAATGGAACCTTTGGAAGCCACTGGAGTCCCTGGTGGCCGCTCCTTTCAGTGCCAGGTGGCGGGGAGCCCTGGCCTGCCCCACCTGGCCTGCCCCATGCATCAGGAGACGCCGCCATGAGCACACACCGTCCCATGGCAGACGCACTGTTACGCCGCACGCAGCCCGGCCCGCCAGCCGCAGATGGTCACTAGCACGTACATTTGGCACGTGTTTCCTTCGTCTTGATTCACATTCACACGTACAGCACAAAGCAGGTCAAAGTTACTTTTTGAGTTCAGGTGTCTTGTCCCTTCCTCCTTTTTATGGATTTCTATAGATGACACTATTTTTCTGTTGTTCCTGGCCCAGCGCTGCGCCCGTGGGGCTTGTTCGAGTCCATTCCCTGTAGCTGTGGGATGAGGATGGCTCTGCATGTCCTTGGAAACACTTGTGTCTGTACAGAGGAAAAAGGCTGCAGTATTTTTCTACAAAGTAATTTATGATTTCTAATTTTCTAACGTGCCTTGGATGTGTGCCAAATGATGGAGAGGAAACAGTAAACGCTGATTGCTGAGTGAGTCCGGGTGTCTGTTGTACTTCCATTTTGCTGTTTCTCAGCCTGGTCTGTACACAGCGTCCCCGCTGCACGGGGACCTTGATTGTCCATCCGCCTGGCTAGGATGGACCGACTTTGATGGATGCAGCACACACAGCTCCTGGGCCCCAGTACTTTTTGGGGCTCACACCACCATTTTAGCATCTTTTAGAATGAGCATACAAGTTTCTGATAAGCACTGTTGCTTTCCTTACTTCTTGTTTTGAGTTTTCCTCCCTTTCTCCACTTCTATACAAACCACCTTATGGGCTTGGCTGCTGTGGCTCTGTAACATCCTAATTAAGAAATGATGAGGCTAGGAGTGTGGCTCAGTGGTAGAGTGCTTGCCTAGCTTCCTTGAAGCCCTGGGTTCAGTTCCTCAGTACCACATACACAGAGTAAGTCGGAAGTGGCACTGTGGCTCAAGTGCTAGCCTTGAGCAAAAGAAGCTCAGGGACGGTGCCCAGGCCCTGAGTTCAAGCCCCAGGACTGGAACCAAAAAAAAAAAAAAAGCTGGGCACCCAGTTCAGTGACAAATGCCTATAACCCCAGCACACGAGGACAGGCTGGGCCACAGCAAGGCCCTGTTTGGGGGCAGGGAAAAGGAGACCCTCAAGCTCATACCTATAATCCTAGAAACTCAGGGAGCAGTGAACAGGAGGACCAGGGTTTCCAGCCCAAGCAGGAAAATCCCAAAGACTCCACCTCCAAAATAGCCAGCAAAAAGGCTGGGGGCCTGGTTCATGCAGTGGAGCACAGCTGAGCAAGCAAGCACAAGGCCCTGAGTTCAAACACCAGTACTGGCAGTATAGCTAAAACTTAGAATATCTACTCCACACAATTTGACCTATAACATCTCTACCCTGTTGCCTTTAAGGACCTTGATACTAACTGGACACTGGCAGCTCACACGTAGTTCAAGCTATTCAGGAGGCTGAGCTCTGAGGACTGGGTTCAAAGCCAGCAGGCAGGAAGTCTGTGAGACTTATCCCCAGTGAACCACCAAAAATCTCAAGTGGTAGCGTGCCAGCCTTGAGCAGAAAAGCAGAGCCAGCGCTTCAGGATCTGAGTTCAGCATCACTGCTTCCTTTCCCACCCTAACAAAGCCTGGAAAGCGTTTTTGGTGGCACCCCAGATATTAAACAGAGAGCCTTTGCCTTGCTGGGCAAGTGCCCCAGCCTTTTTATGTTTTTTTTTGGCTGGTCATGGGGTTTGAACTCTGGGCCTGGGCACTGTCCCTCAGCTCTTCTGCTCAAGGCAAGCACTCTATCTCTTGAGCCACAGCACCACTTCCAGTTTTCTGGTGGTTTATTGAAAGGAAAAGTCTCATGGACTTTCCTGCCTGGGCTGGCTTTGAACTGCAATCCTCAGATCTCAGCCTCTCTGAGTACCTAGGATTACAGGTATGAGCCACTGGTGCCTGGCTATGGTTTGGTTTTGAGACAAGGTCTTGTTAACATTTCCTGCACTGGCCTCAGACTTGCAATCCTCCTGCCTCCATGTCCTGACATCTGGGATTATAAAGATGTATAACCACACCTGGCTTCTTGTTGTTGGAGTACTATGGAGTTGAAATCCGAGCCAGGCATTTCTACCTCTTAAGCCAATCCCCCTTAGTAGGAACTTCTTGTACAAGGGCAGTGCCACCTCCAAGAGGAGCTCTGCTTCCTGCTTGGAGGACCTACGTCCAGAAATTTCAGATATGCTCGGACAACAAGGCCATTTGAATGTCCACAGTGTGCCTGGATGCTTCATGAAGGTCTCGTCCACGCTGCCATTTGCTTAGAAGCAAAGTGAGATGCACACACCTCTGGTGACTGGAGATGGCATGAAAACCACTCACTCCATGCTTTCGTTTGCATAAACAAGTTTAATTTCGTAAAAGCATATAGACAATAAACAAAGTAAACATTGAAGAGCTTTAACCTCCATCCTAGAACTGTGCCGCTAAGCTTGAGAGTTCAGTAATCGTCGTCGTCATCTGAGTCCATTACTTTCCTTCTGTTGAACTGGGGAGGATTAAAGGCGTCATAACATTGTCAGACCTGAGCAGAAACATCCGTGGCTGCCAGGTGGGTGAAGCGGCACAGGGGCCTTAGACACAGCCCCTTGATATAGCCAGACCTCCCCACAGCCCTTAGGACTTCCATCAAATCAGTCTACAGGCTGCAAGATGCCGATATAGTAGATACACATTCAACACTCAACTTTTTTTGGGGGGTGTATGTGTGCTATTCCTGGGGCGTGAACTCAGGGCTTGGGCAGGGACTGGTCCCTAAGCACTTTTGTTTTTTTCTCAAGGCTAGTGCTTTAACACTTGAGCCACAGCTCCACTTCTGGATTTTTGTGGCTAACTGGAGATAAGGTGACTCATGGACTTTCCTGTCTGGGCTTGGCTTTGAACTGTGATCCTCAGATCTCAGCTTCCTGAGTAGCTAGGATTACAGGCATGAGCCACTGCACTCAGCTCAATACTCAACATTTAAATATCAACACTTTTTCTTCTGCAGCAACACGGGGGTGAGGGTGGGGGTAGCACTTACTTTTACTGTCGTTTTCTTTTCTGTTTGTTGGCTTACTTTTTCAAGGATTTCTATTAAGCCCTGTTCTGAAACCTAGGGTAACCAGAAAGAAAAAAGTACCCGTTAAAACCAAGAATAAATCTTAGCAGGATTAATTACTTAGTGATCTTTCTAGGGCGTTGAGAGGGATGGTGGAAGGGGAGGAAGGGGTGGCAGAAAGCGGACCATTAACTCAACAACCGATTCAAGCTGCAAAGAACTGGCTTTTGCTGTTTTACCTCAGCTGGGATGGCAGTGGGAGATGATGCCATCTCAGAGGAGGACTACTGACCGACGCGTTTCCTCAGAAGCTTCTGATGGAGCACATGGAAGGACTTGTGCATCACACCAGCAGACAAGCCCACGCTTCAGCCCATTCAGTGTTGCAGGGAAAGCTACACAATTTCTGCCCACAATTGAAACATCATCTTAGAGATGACGTCACTCTCAAAAACAAAAGATCCACCAGGGCTGGGTGTGGTGACGCACACCTGTAAGCCAGGGACTTGGAGAGCACACCCGGGAGGATCTGGTCCTAGACAAAGCGTGAGACCCACACTGAAGCAAGATGGCTGCCTGGAGGGGTGGCTCAAAACGGTAGAGGGCATTCAAGCCCTAGTACTGTCCAAAAAGAAATCGCAGGAGAGCTGGGAAGGTGGCAAATGAATGAAGCCCTGGGTTCAATTCCTCAGTACCACATACACAGAAAAAGCTGGAAGCAGAGCTGTGGCTCAAGCGATAGAGTGCTTGCCTTGAGCAAAAGAAGCTCGGGGACAGTGCCCAGGCCCTGAGTTCAAGCCCCAGGACTGGCAAAAAAAAAAAAATCAGGAAGTGGTACTATGTCTCAATTGATAGAGCGCTACTACTTTGGCAAAAGAGCTCAGGAACAATGCCTGGGTCCTGAATTCAAGGTCCATAGCTGACCAAAAAAGCTGTATGTATGTAAGTGTGTGTGTGTATATATAATACATATATATGTATATCTATATATACATTTACATACATGCATATATATACACACATACATATATATAAAAATCAACCAGCGGGCTGGGAAGGTGGCTCAGTGGTAGAGCACTTGCCTTGCATGCTCGAGGCCCTGGGTTCGATTCCTCAGCACCACATAAGCAATAAGAAAAAAGCCGGAAGTGGCGCTGTGGCTCAAGTGGTAGAGCACTAGCCTTGAGCTGAAGAGCTGAGGGACAGCGCCCAGGCCCAGAGTTCAGGCCCCACGACCGGACCCAAAAAAAAAAAAAAAATCAACCAGCTGTGTGTTCTGCACATAAGGTGGAAAGGTTCAGGGCAAGTGGAGGGATCCCCACACAGTCAGTGGGTGAGGGCTGTGTACACAGGGCTGAACGTGGCATCACTGGCCAGCCAGATTTGCTTCTGGGCAGAAACCGATGCCAACTGGCCCAAGCTGTGGGTGGGCCACACAAGGTCCAGGAAAGAAAGAAGTGATCTCTAGCAAAGTTGGAGTCACTCAGGACCTCCAGAAGTAGCTGTCCAGCTTACCTTCCCACTCAGCTGTCCATAACGTGCCATCTGGATGAGGTAATTCTCTACTGCTTTTGTTTTTTCTGGCTTCACAAGTGCCAAGTTACTTACTGAAAAGAGGTTAAAAAATTTATATACATATGGGGGAGAGGTATCAACACTAATCCCACTTACATTTAAAAAAAGGGACAGGGGCTGGGAAGGTGGCTCAGTGGTAGAGTGCTTGCCTTGCATGCTTGAGGCCCTGGGTTTGATTCCTCAGCACCACATAAGCAGAAAAAAAAAAGCCAGGAGTGGCGCTGTGGCTCAAGTGGTAGAGTGCAGCCTTGAGCTGAAGAGCTGAGGGACAGCACCTAGGCCCAGAGTTCAGACCCCACGACCGGACCCCCCCCCCCCCCAAAAAAAAGGACAATTTTGCTGAACACTGGTGGCTCACACCTGTAATCCTAGCTACTCAGGAGGCTGAGATCTGAGAATCGCAGTTCGAAGCCAGCCTGATCATGAAAGTCTGTGACTCTTATTTCCAATGAACCACCAGAAAACTGGAAGTGGAACTGTGACAAAGTGGTAGAGCGCTAGCCTTGAGCGAAAAAAGCTCTGGGAGCTGGGCGCTGGTGGCTCACGCCTGTAATCCTAGCTACTCAGGAGGCTGAGATCTGAGGATCGCGGTTCAAAGCCAGCCCAGGCAGGAGAGACCGTGAGACTCCTATCTCCAATAAACCACCAGAACACCGGAAGTGGTGCTGTAGCTCAAGTGGTAGAGCGCTCGCCTTGAGCTGAAGAGCTGAGGGACAGCGCCCAGGCCCAGAGTTCAAGCCCCAGGACCGACCAAAAAAAAAAAGAAAAAAGCTCTGGGATAGCACCCAGGCCCTGAGTTCATGCCCCAAAACTGACAAAAAAATAAAAATAAGAACAGCTGGGTGCTGGTGGCTCACGCCTCTAACCCTAGCTATTCAGGAGGCTGAGATCTAAAGATCACAGTTTAAAGCTAGCCCAGACAAAAAAGTTCCTGTGAGACTCTTATCTCCAATGAACCACCAGAAAACTGGAAGTAGTGCTGTGGTTCAAGTGGTAGAGCGCTAGCCTTGAGCACAAAGAGGCTCAGGGACAGTACCTAGGCCCTGAGTTCAAGCCCCACAACTGACAAAAAAAACAAAAAACAAAAGAACTAAGCTCTAATATTCCCTAAACACCTCACAATTCACCAGTCAGGTCCATGGCACTGTATCTATTAAAAATGGAAAAATAAAAATCAAAACCCAGGTCTGGGAATGTAGCTTAGTGGTAGAATGCTTACTTCACATGCATGAATCCCTGGGTTCGATTTCTCAGTACCACATACACAGAAAAAGCCGAAAGCAGTGCTGTGGCTCAAGTGGTAGAGAGCAAAAGAAGCTCAAAGACAGTGCCCAGGCCCAGAGTTCAAGCCCCAGGACTGGCCAAAAAAAACAAAACCAAAACCAAAAACCAAAAAGAACAATAAAAACAACCCACAAACCCACAAAAGCCAAAGTTCAGCTGTGGGCTGGTGGTGTGGCTAAAGTGCTGGAGCATTAGATTAGCCAATATGAGGCCCTGAGTTCAAACCCCAGTATTAGCAAAGTTCAGCCACATCAGTCTCAGATAGTGGGAAAGGCCACTGTGGGTGCTCATGTCCTAAGCCCTGTGCCTTCCTGTGTAAAATGCATGACCATTTTCATCAAAGCAATTTATTATTCTGACATGACAGAATGGTGGGTCACTGTCCAGCTGTGTCTTCTACCCTAGGCTTCAAGGAATTACACAGAAAGATGGCACTGGACCATTTGGATAGGTTTTCTTTTAAACTTTTTTTTGGTACCATCCTAGGGCTTGAACTCTGGGCCTAGGTCCTGTCCCTGAGCTTTCCTCCTCAAGGCTAGTTCTACACTTGAACCACAGCTCCAATTCCAACTTTTTTGGTGGTTCACTAGCAGTTAAGTCTCATGGACTTTCCTCCTGCCTGGGCTGGCTGTGAACCGTGATCCTCAGATCTCAGCTTCCTGAGTAGTTGGGATTACAGGCATGAGCCACTGTACCCAGCCTTTGACGTAGTTTTCTTATGAAACTCTGCATGTTGATGGAAATGCATGTAGACATCATGTCCCCGGTAAGCAAAGAACTTGTTGGCAGCTTTGACAAGGACTTAAGTACTTTTCTCTGGTTTACTGACTTCACACTTCATATAAACAATGCATATTGAATATTTCTATGCTCAGTGAATAGCAATAACTCTGGCCCATCTATGAAAGTAACAATCTGGGTGCCATTGGTTCATGCCTGTAATCCTAGCTACTCAGGAGGCTGAGATCTGAGGATCGCAATTCAGAGCCAGCCCAGGCAGGAAAGTCTCCAATTAACCACCAGGAAACCGGAAGTGGCTCTGTAGCTCAAATGGTTGAGCTGAAGAGCTCATGGACAGCGCACAGGCTGAGTCCACGCTCCATGACCAACAAAACAACAACAAAAAAGATGCTTACGCCTGGCCCGGGCGGATTGATCCAGAACTTGAGCTAAGATACTGTTCCTCATTTCTGCTTCCCTGCAACAGAACACAGGTCAGACATTAGAAATCAGCTGTTGGCACATGTGCACTCCATGAGTCCTGAGACAGTAGGGCAGGCACGAGGCTGCAACCCCGGCAGTGACTGCTCCAAGAGCCAGCTTTGCACTACAAGGTATAAGCTGGCCAGGCAGACACCAAACCCTTCCAACTGCCATAACCACTGTGGGGGACCCATGCCAGTAATGTGTTGTGAGGACTGCAGACGATTAAGGAGGACAGTGATTGATCTGTGTAATGTACTCATACAGCAAGCTCAGGCCCAGGAAGCTGTGTCAAAGAGACAAAGGCAACCGTGGCCTAGCTAGAACCAGACCTCATGTTTAAAGACTCAGTTCTTCTTCTGTATATCACCAATATAATAATAATAGAAAAAACTGGCACCAGAGCTGAGCACTGGTGGCTCACACCTATAATCCTAGCTACTCAGGAGGTTGAGATCTGAGGATCATGGTTCAAAGCCAGCCTGGGCAGCAAACTCTGTGAACTTTTATCTCCAATGAACCACTAGAAAACCAGAAGTGATACTATGGCTCAAAGTAGTAAAGTGCTATCCTTGAGTGAAAGAGCTCAGAAGCAGTGCCTAGGTCCTGAGTTCAAGCCCCATGACCATGACCACTACCACCACCACCAAGAAAACTCAGTTCTGGTCCAGGCATGGTGTTGCACACCTATAATTCCAGTTACTCTGGAGGTGCGGATGGGAGGATCTCCATTAGAGGCCAGCCCTTCCAAAGTGAGGTATGTAAAACACACTAAAAATCTAAAAGACTCAGGTGTGACTCAAGTGACAAGAGCACTTGCCAATCAAGCTCTGAGTTCACTCCCCAATTCCCTCAAAATACTGTTGCCACTAGTTTTGTTGTTGTTAGTTGTGGGGGCTGAACTCTGGGCCTGGGCACTGTCCCTCAGCTCTTCAGCTCAAGGCTAGCACTCTACCACTTGAGCCATAGCACCACTTCCGGCTTTTTTTCTTTTTGCTTATGTGGTGCTGAAGAATCAAACCCAGGGCCTCAGGCATGCAAGGCAAGCGCTCTACCACTGAGCCACCTTCCCAGCCCCCTCTTTTCTTTTTAGTGCCTAATTGGAGATAAAGAGTCTCAGGGGTTTTCCTGCCCCAAATGGCAGGAAAGTAGATTTTCTTCTTTTTGTTCTGTAAATGAAGCCCCCCCCTCCCCCAAGAAAGCAGTTACAGCACAGACTACAGCAGAGGTGATATGGCTGGAGTGGGCTGTGCCCAAACATGTAGCTTCTGCCATAGGCCATCTCCTTGTAGTTGCTGACAACTGCTGAGCCACTATACTGTCACTCTATGTCACTGCACCTAACATGCCAGGAGCTGTGACACACCAGTGTCCAGTACCTCGAAGGATGAAGACACCTTCAGTGAGGGCGTAGTAAGAGATCCCCTTCTTAAAGCAAGGGTGCCAAACAGGAAGATCTCCAGCAAACAACAAATAGCTGGGTGCTGGTGGCTCATGCCTGTAATTCGAGCTACTCAGGAGGCTGAGATCTAAGGATCATGACTCAAAGCCAGCCCAGGCTGGAATATCCAGGAGACGCTTTGTCTTCAATGAACCACCAAACAAAGGTGGAAGTGCAACTGTGGCTTAAGTAGCCTTGAACAAAAGAACTCAGGGACAGCGCCCAGGCCTTGAGTTCAAGCCCCATGACAAAAAAACAAAACAACAAAAGTGATCGTACTCTGATGGGAGATTTCTGGAGAGACCACTCTGCCACAAAAACCTTTGTCATTCACACACCTATCAAAATTACTAAAATGGAGGTGGTGGTGGTGGTGGAATCCCGTGGTGAAGGAAGTTCAGTTTTCTAGCACGTACCTTTGTTTTGCTTCCTGTTGTGCTGCATCTCCGGGATCCTTAAAAAAATAGTAATAATAATTTCACCTTAGCACTGAGTACAATTTCCAAAGGGGGAAGGGAGGACCTATTCTCTTTTCCTTCTGATATAATAGAGTCCTCACAGGAGTAAATAATCCGCCTAATTACTAAAAACTGGCTCTCTTGCCAGATGTTGGTGGCTCACACCTACAATCCTTGCTACTTGAGAGGCTGAGGATTTTTTGTTTGTCAGTAGTAGGGCCTGAACTCTGGGCCTGGGCACTGTCCCTCAGCTCTTCAGCTCAAGGCTAGCGCTCTACCACTTGTGCCACAGCGCCACTTCTGGTTTTCTGGTTTATTGGAGGTAAGACTCTCATGGTCTTTCCTGCCTGGGCTTTGAACCGAGATCTTTAGATCTCAGCGTCCTAAGTAGCTAGGATTATAGGTGTGAGCCACTGGTGCCTGGCAATGCAGAGGATTTTTGTTCTGAGCCAGCCCAGTCAGAAACGTCTATGAGACTCCATTTCCAAAATGACCAGCAAGCTGGGTGTCTGGCTCATCTATCTACCCAGTCTGAGGACTGAGGCTCAAAGTGAGCCCAGGCAGGAAAGTCTGTGAGATTCTCTTATTTCTAATCAAATACCAAAAACCCAGAAGTGGAGGTGTAGCTCAAGTGATAAATAAGAGTGACAGCTTTGGGGGAGGGGGGGAAGGTAAAGGTTCTCACCCAGTTGAGGCCCCACTACCTGCAACAGCCCCCCAATAAAAAAGAAGCAAAGTGTCAGACTGGAGGTGTGGCTCAAGTGGTAGAGTAGCAGAGCCATGAGCAAGCAAGCAGGCCCTGAGTTCAAGCCTAGATATAGGGACCAAACAACCAATCCATCAAGAAGGAGCAATAAATCAAGAAGTTTTCACCTGCCATGTTCTGGCTTGTTTGGTGGGGAGTAGGGGGGTTCCCAGGGCCAGCACCCTGTTAGCCACCAGCACACCATTCCAATTCCCAAGGGGAACTTTCAGTGGGCTTCTAAAGGAGTCACAATGTAACAGAACCTTCCAGAACACCAACCACCACCATTACTCCCCCACACACACACCGCCCCCAGCCTACCCAGGGGAAAAATGTCTCCCTTATACTAACTACCAGAGCTCCTGTTTTTTAAAAGAATAATGCCTAAAAATGCGGATGTTGAATGTCAGGCACCGGTGGCTTGCGACTGCCATCCTAAGTACTCAGGAAGGAGGCTGAGATCTGAGAATCACAGGTTTGAAGCCAGCCTGGGCAGGAAAAAAAAAAAAAAATCCAAAAAGAAACTTTCATGACTCCTCACCTTCCTCCCCGCCCCCCCCCCCAAAAAAAAGCCATAAAAAGTGGTGCTGTGGCTCAAGTGGTGGAGTGCTAACTGCGAACCAAAACACTCAAGGACGGCACCCAAGCCCTGAGTTCAAGCCCCACTACCAGCACACACACAGAGACTGGGGGGCAGGGGGGGGGGGAATGATAGCTAGCATTTGGGAAGTGCCTTTTATTCAGACCACAGCATCAGGTAACCAGGAGGAAACGGACAGGCTTCTGAGCCAACAGAAAGAAAAGAAAAGAAAAAAAAAGGCTCGGGGTCAGCAGCGTCCAGGTCCTGAGTTCGGGCCCCACGAGCTGCTCCTGGGCGCTGGCTCTCACTAGAGTGGTAATGACTAACCCGGTGAGGCGGGAGGTCCCGGGCCCCCTTGGAAGAAGAGTCTGCACCTCCGGCCGCTGGGCAGCGCCCCTCGGCCGGGCGTGTGCTGGGGGGCCCCCGGCGTTCCCGGCGCCCCCACCCCGGCCCTCGGGGCGCCCCGAGGCCCCCGCGGCCTCCCGTCAGGGCCGCGCCCTCCACGCCCCGCCCGCTCACCCCGTGCTTCGCCTGCAGCTCCGCCAGCCTCTGCTTCCGCAGCGTCTCCAGCTCCTCGTCCGCCATGGCTCTGGCCGTGGGAAGTGCGGCTGAGGCGGGGGAGCGGGGACTGGGGGGGGGTGTCTCACGGCCGCCGAGACCCTCGCCCCGAAGTCCGTCCACCCGGCGGGGATCCCGCGGCTCCTCGCGCGAGCCTGCACGACGGCGGCCGCACGCTGCGCAGGCGCACCGGGCGACCAGGCGTCGCCAATCCAGCCCCGAGTCCCCCGCCTCCGGATCCCTCCCCCTTCCTCCCCTCCCCGTTTGACGCCCTCCCCGTCCTTTCCCTGGCCGTCGCCAGGGCGACGAGGAGATGCCCGATCTCGCGATTGGAGGCGGCTGGATCAAACCAATTCCCAGCCGTCTTCCGTGATGGATGGGATGCTGGATCCAAGGTGCGTGCTATTCATGAACTGTTTTGTCGAAAGGCAACTCCTTGGTGCAACTACTTAAAGATAATAATAATTGGAAAAAAAAAAAAACAACATACCGGGCCGGGCGCCGGTGGCTCACGCCTGTCATCCTAGCTACTCAGGAAGCTCAGATCTGAGGATTGAGGTTCGAAGCCAGCCTGGACGGGAAAGTCCGTGAGACGCTTAACTTCCATTAACCACTGCGCCCAGGCCTTGAGTTCAAGTCCGACGACCGACAAAAACGAATGAATGAATGAATAAATTATATATATATATATATATATATATATATATATATATATATATATGTGCTAGATTTATTGACTCCACATTTATGGACAAGGAGCCAGGGTTCCAGAGAGGCTGAGCATGGGGTGGAGATCTAGAATTTAATTGTTGCTATGGTTGCACACCACCAAAGTGAACAGTGTAAATAAACAAAGAAAAATAAATGAAAACTACATATGTAATTAAATAATAAAGTACGTTGAGGGGTTGTCGTGGAAGCATGGAGGAGAAAAATCAGAGAAAATTGCAGTTCACCTGTGGACATTGCAAGTTGGAGGCCCTGAGTTCACAGCCCAGCACCTACCACCAATAAAATCTAAAATAAAATACACAAGAATTTAAAAATATAAGGCATCGAAACAAAAGGAAAAGGTGACATCTTAGAAAAATTGTACTTATTACCTGATTTATGAACTTGTTAACATCTCTGTACAATGCCTTAATAATAATAAAATTATACTTTTTTGTTGTTGTTGTTGGTCGTGAGGCCTGAACTCTGGGCCTGGGCACTGTCCCTTGGCTCTTCAGCTCAAGGCTAACGCTCTACTGCTAGAGTCACAGCTCCACTTCTGGCTTTTTCTGCTTATGTGGTGCTGAGGAATCGAACCCAGGGCCTCATGCATGCAAGGCAAGCGCTCTACCACTGAGCCACTTTCCCAGCCCCTAAAATTATACTTTTAATTTAAAAAAAAATTTTTGTTGGTCTTGGGGCTTGAACGCTGGGCCTGGGCACTGTCCCTCAGCAATTCAGCTCAAGGTGAGCACTTTACCACTTAAGCCACAGTGCCACTACTGATTTTCTGGTGGTTTACTGGAGATAAGAGTCCCATGGACTTTCCTGCCCGGGCTGGCTTTGAACAGATCTCAGCCTCCTGAGTAGCTAGGATTACAGGTGTGAGCCACCAGCACCTGGCTAAAATTATATTTTTTAATTTTAATTTTTACTTTTTGGGTCCAGTCGTGGGGCCTGAACTCTGGGCCTGGGCACTGTCCCTCAGCTCTTCAGCTCAAGGCTAGTACTCTACCACTTGAGCCACAGCGCCACTTCCGGCTTTTTTCTTTTTGCTTATGTGGTGCTGAGGAATCGAACCCAGGGCTTCATGCATGCAAGGCAAGCACTCTACCACTGAGCCACCTTCCCAGCCCCTAAAATTATATACATATACACACATATATATATATGTATATAATTTATTTATTTATTTTGGTCGTGGGGCTTGAACTCTGGGCCTGGGCGCTGTCCTTGTGCTCTTCAGCTCAAGGTGAGCACTCTACCGTTTGAGCCACAGCACCACTTCCGGTTTTCTAGGGGGGGGGGGGTTATTGGAGATAAGAGTCTCACGGACTTTCCTGCCTGGGCTGGCTTTGAACCTCGATCCTCGGATCTCAGCCTCCTAAGTAGCTAGGCTTACAGGCGTGAGCCACCGTCGCCCAGCTTAAAATTATATTTTTTAAAAAGCAAAAAAGGTAAATAAAATTCTAAAAGAAATGGCGGAGGAGGGCAGGCGGGCTGGGAATGTGGCTTAGAAGCCCTGGTTCAATTCCTCATTACCACATAAACAGAAAAAGCCGGAAGTGGTGCTGTGGCTGAAGTGATAGAGTGCTAGCCTTGAGCAAAAGAAGCTCCGGGACAGTGCCCAGGCCCTGAGTTCAAACCCCAGGATTGGCAAAAACCAAAAAAAGTGGCTAGGAGTCATGGCTCAAGTGGTAAGAATGCTACCTTGTGAGTATAAGGCACTGACTTCCAATGTCCAGAACCACAAAAAAAGAAAAGGAGGAAGGGATGGAGGGGGTAGAAATCGCATATTGGGAGGAAGGAAGGAAGGAAGGAAGGAAGGGAGGGAAGGAGGGAGGGAGGGAGGAAGGAAGGAAAGAAGGAAAGAAGGAAGGAAGGAAGATCTGGAGAGAAGGAAGAGAAGAGGAGGAGGAGAGCGTGAGGCGAGGCCCACAGCATAGAAGGAAGGAGGGAGGGAGGCGGGGAGTGGAGAGGCAGGGAGGGAGGACGGGGAGGCCATGTTTGGAGGCTTCATTACACTTTGCTAGGCACACAGCCATGCAGTCTATCTTCCCTCCCATTTTGTGCATCTTCCATGAGCAGCAGGAGCTGAGCAATTCTAGAACCCGAAGAGCAGAGCCCACATGACCAGTTGGTCCCTCGGCCCCTATCAGCCTCACCTTCCCCTCCCCAAGGCAGGTCACCTGTTTCAATCACCATCGCTGGATCCCAGCAGCCCCTGGCGTCTGGAGTCCCGGTGTCTCCTGCAGGCAGCAGAGGGAGCTCACACACTATGGAAAGGGAGGGATTCTTTAAACCAGGAGGGAGAAAACCCCAGAGTTGATTTTTTTTTTTCTTTCCAGTTGTGGGGCTTGAACTCAGGGACTGGGTGCTGTCCCTGAGCTCTTTTGCTCAAGGCTAGTGCTCTACCACTTGAGCCCCAGCTCTACTTCCAGTTTTCTAGTTTTCTTGTGGTTCATTGGAGTCTCATAGACTTTTATTTATTTTTTATTTTTTGCCAGGGCTGGCTTTGAATCATGATCTTCAGATCTCAGCCTCCTGAGTAACTATGATTATAGGTGTGAGCCAGGCACTCGGCCCTATCATTGATTTTTACCTAAGCAGTGTGGCCTTACAGATGCTAGGCATGAGCTAAGGGCACCTGGCTCTAAAACATTAGCACACAAAAGAAGCCCTTCTTAACTTAGTCCTGACCCCAGACCAGCTGCCACCCAGGACTAGCTGGAGAGTCCAACAGAAACCAGAAAAGTAACCCAGGCACCCATGGCTTACACCCTAGCTACTCAGTTGGCTGAGCTCTAAGGATCTGGGTTCAAAGCCAGCCTGGGCAGGAAAATCTGCTTTGAGACTCCAGTGAACCATATGAAAAAAAGCCAGAAGTGGAGCTGTGGCTCAAGTGGTAGAGCACTAACTAGGCTTGAGCTAAAGACAGAAAAGAAAAGAAAAAGAGTTCAGGGACAGTGTCCAGGCCCTGAGTCCAAGCCCCAGACTGGGCACAAAAAGAAATCTTTTTTTTTTGTCGGTCGTGGGGCCTGAACTCTGGGCCTGGGCGCTGTCCCTCGGCTCTTCAGCTCAAGGCTAGCGCTCTACCACTTGAGCCACAGCGCCACTTCTGGCTTTTTCTGTTTATGCGGTACTAAGGATGAATGCAAGGCAAGCACTCTACCACTGGGCCACCTTCCCAGCCAGAAAAGAATTCCTGGTCTGAAAGAGTCTTTGTTTCAGAGTCTTTGAATTCAGGAGCAGCTGTGCCTAAATTATTGTAGTCACTCACTAGGATACCAGCTTCCTTCACACCGGAGAGCCAGGGAACAAAGGCTGGATTACAGCAGGACTTCCTTCTCCTGGCTAAAAGATGAACAGACTGAGGGCCTTGTTAAGAACTCCCTCAGACTCTTTTACCTTTCTTTGTTGTCCTGGAGATGGAATCAGTGCCTCTAGTTTGCTTGAGCCAAGTCCCCAGTGTTTTGCTTTTAGTCATTTTTCTTTTCTTTTCCTTTCCTTCTTTTTTTTTTTTTTTTTTGGTCGGTCATGGGGCTTGAACTCTGGGCTTGGGCGCTGTCCCTGCACTCTTCAGCTCAAGCTGAGTGCTCTACCACTTGAGCCACAGCACGACTTCCAGTTTTCTAGTGGTTTATTGGAGATAAGAGTCTCATGGATTTTCCTGCCCGGGCTGGCTTTGAACTGTGATCCTCAGATCTCAGCCTCCTGAGTAGCTAGGATTACAGGCGTGAGCCACCGGCACCCAGCTCCTTTTCTTTTTGTTTTTCTCTTCTTTTCTTTAAGTCTGAGACCTGGCCTCAAACTCCATACCTACCTCTTTTGCTATTGGCTAGCACGCTACCAACTGAGCCACGCCTCTAATCCCTCATTTTTTCTCATAAGGTCTCTAGCTTTTGCCTCTGCTTGCCTCAAACTGTGACCCTTCTATCTCAGCCTTCTAAGTAGCTGGGATTACAGGTGGATGCCTCCATGCCTGCATAAAATGTCAAATATACAGAAATGTACCCCTCATCTATATCAAATATACTGGGCTGGAAACATGGCCTAATGGTAGTTTGCCAGTTTAGGTAATGTATCTGTATCAGTATCTGTATCTGTATATGTGCATGTATATGTGTGTATGTATATGTCTACTTCCATACTTCATATTTTATGTTTTGTTTTGATATTTTTTGTGCCAATAGTGGGGCTTAAACCCAGGGCTGGGACAATGTCTCTTAGCTAGCTAGCTTGCTTCTTTTTTTTTGCTAGTCCCAGGGCTTGAACTGGGGGCCTGGGCACTGTCCCTCAACTTCTTTTGCTCAAGGCTAGCACTCTACCACTTGAGCCACAGTACCACTTTCAGCTTTTTCTGTTTATGTGGTCCTGTGGAATCGAACCCAGGGCTTCATGTATGCTAGGCAAGCACTCTATCACTAAGCCATATACTCCCAGATGCATGCTTTCCTTCCTTCCT